CATGATGTTAAGTCAGCTGGTCATTTTGGGTTTTTAAAAACCCTGCACCTGCTCAAACGACAGTTTTGGTGGCCAGGTATGAAAACGGATATAGAGAAATACGTTCGGGAATGTTCCATGTGTGCAACTACAAAACCACGGGTGGGAAAACCGTCAGGCCTACAACAAGTGTCTGATCCTAACCATCCTTGGGAAGAGATTGGCATGGATTTATAGTCGATCTACCAGCCAGCCACGGTAACACAGTAATATGGACAGTGATAGACCTGTTTTCAAAACAGGCACATTTTATCCCCTGCAAAGGGTTACCATCAGCGAGGCGTTTAGCAAAACTATTTGTAGCACATGTCTTTTGCCTACATGGAGTATCTCGTCGCATTATATCAGATCGAGGAGTGCAATTCACCATCCGATTCTGGAGGAATTTCATCACGTCTATTGGTCCATCTCAGGGATTGAGTTCTGCATTCCACCCTAGTACAAATGGAGCAGCTGAACGTGCCAACGCGATGGTCAAACAATATCTTAGATGTTGTATCAATTATCAGCAGACAAATTGGGCTGATCTTCTACCATTCGCTGAAGTGGCATATAATAACATCCTCCACAGCAGCACAGGGTTTACTCCATTCCGGGTGGTACATGGAATAGATTTTGTCCCTATTCCCAAATTACCTCATGGAGATACTGGGTCACAACAACCAAACGATTGGATACTCCAGATTAAAAGCATATGGAAATCAATAAAGAAGGCACTACAGAAAGCGGAACAATCATCAAAGAGACAAGCCGACAAGAAGAGAAGTCCATAAAAATGCTTTCAAGTTGGTGAAGAAGTGTACCTGTCCACTAAATACTTAAAGTTACGCAGGCCATGTAAGAAGCTAGGGCTAAAATATATCGGGCCTTTTAGAATAGATTATTAATCCATTGATGGTAAGAATAAAATTACCCCTCAGCCTTGGTAAAGTGTACCCCATCTTCCACAGTGGGCTACTAAAACTGGTTAAGAAATCCTCATTTAGGTAGGTACAACAACCCCCTGGTCAAGTTGGAGGAGGTCATTACGAAATCGAGAAATTACTCGATACACAGTATCGAAGGGGTCAGTTACAATACCTAGTACTGTGGAAGGGATACCCAATGTTGGAGGCATCATGGGTGAGGGAGGCAGACGTTGATGTCCCTTGCCTAGAACATAGATACCATTGTAAATATCCCCTAAAGCCAGGAGGGAGGGGGAATGTACCTACAACTCTAACACCAACCTAACTATGTGTTTTGCCTACTTCCAGGAGGACACCTGGTAGGGGGGCCGCCTGTCAAGCCCTCCCCGGCTTGACACACAAGAAAGGGGGGGGACAGCTTGGTGATGGAGGAGGAGGCAGCTCACTGTTTTGAACGAAAGAGTGAGCCGCAGATCCTCCAGCAACTGTTCCGAATACTGGAGCAGCACAGGGACGATTCCGGATCCCATGAGATGCCGCGCATGGGCAGATATGCTGCCGCGCCTGTGCAGAAGGACTAGCCACCAAACAGCTGACAAGTGGCAAGCCGGTGCACAGCTGATAGGCGGTAGCCAGCAATTATATTAAATGGTCAAGGGTGTCCCAGAGAAGCCTCAGAGATGATGGAGGTTTCTCTAATTGCTGCTGGGTGCTGGTTGGGAGAAGAGAGGGTGGGGTTGTAGTTTGTTAGGAAGGGGTATAATGGGGTTGTGGCTTAGGATTAATTGGTGAAGGGTGGGGTAAATATACTCCTACTATATTTAAACAGAGTTGGGAGGCAATTGCTCCCAGCGCAAACTTTGTAAATTATAGAACCTGATTGCTAAGGTCTGTGTGAACGTCATCGCTTTACCTCAAGTAAACTGGATTTTGTTTGGACGAAAGTGCTCCTGTGTTTTCCTTTTCCTGCAAGGGTCCGGTAGGAAAGCTGACAAGAAATAGATGAACTCTTTGCCAACCAGTTAACAAATGCATGTAGGAAGCATACCACAGTAGTAATGGGAGACTTCAACTACCCAGATATCAACTGGGAGACAAACTCTCCAGTGAGTGGGAGATCAAACAGATTCCTAACCAACCTAGCCAACAACTTTGTCACCCAAAAGGTATAGTATAGGTGGTACCTTTCTCAATAGTAGCAACTGTGAGAGGGATATTGGAGTCCTAGTGGACAATCACTTAAATATCAGCCAGCAGTGTGTTGCAGCTGCCAAAAAAGCCAACACAGTGCTAGGCTGCATTAACAGTGGGATAGAATCAAGATCACATGAAGTGTTAATACTACTTTACAATTCCTTTATAAGGCCATACTTGGAATACTGCATCCAGTTTGGGTTACCACAATGTAAAAAGATATTGAGACTCTAGAAAGAGTACAGAGAAGAGCAAAAAAGATGATTAGAGGACTGGAGGCTAAAACATATAAGAAACGGTTGCTGGAATTGGGTATGTCTAGTCCAGTGATGGCAAACCTTTTAGAGACCGAGTGCCCAAACTACAACCCAAAACCCACTTATTTATCACAAAGTGCCAGGGCTGCATCAGCATTGTGGTGCCCTCGGGTGGGGGGGGGCAAGGAGGTGCCTCTGAGTGCTGCCTCTGGCACGCAAAAAACAGGGGCACAAAAATGGGCCACTGTGCTGCAAGGCGCAAAAATGGCTGCCGCTGCGCTGAAGAGTGCAGATACAAGGCGCTGGATCATGCAAAAATGGGGCAGGGCTAGTGAGTATCACGCAGGTACTAGCCCTGCCCCATTTGTAGCACGTGCATGTTTGCAGCCCCGTGTGCACATGAGCGTGTGTAAAATGCTTCCCCCTCCCTTTCTTCCAGTCCACCAATCAACAATGGTTGGTGACCTCTGCTCTACCACCTCTACTCGAGCTTGTTAGTCGGCTGCTTCGCCTCCTTTGTGCTGGGTGGGGCTCCTGCTCCAGGTGGCAGTGGCGGCCTGATGGACATGCTGCTGGTGGCGATGGCGCGCATGCCAACAGAGAGGGCTCTGAGTGCCGCCTCTGGCACCTGTGCCATAGGTTCACCACCACTGGTCTAGTCTAATGAAGAGAAGGACAAGGGGTGACATGATAGCAGTGTTCCAATATCTCAGGGGCTGCCACATAAAAGAGGGAATCAAGCTATTCTCCAAAGCACCTGAAGACAGGACAAGAAGCAATGGATGGAAACTAATCAAAGAGAGAAGCAACCTAGAACTAAGGAGAAATTTCCTGACAGTTAGAACAATTAATCAGTGGAACAACCTGCCTCCAGAAGCTGTGAATGCTCCAACATTGGAAGTTTTTATGAAGAGACTAGACAGCATTTGTCTGAAATGGTATAGGGTTTCCTGCCTGAGCAGGGGATTGGACTAGATGACCTCCAAGGTCCCTTCCAACTTTTTATTGTTGTTGTTGTTGTTACATTCTACATCTTTTGCTTTTGAGAGTCATTATTGTCCATTGAAAGTGCTCCTTTGTTTGATTCTTAATGATGGAAAATTACTTTGTCTTCCCATTTCTGTTATAGCACCAGTTTTTTCTGATCTATAAATATTTACCTCATTGCTACTTGCTATTCCAGTTCTTTAATGTTTTGTTCAAGGACTTGCTTCCAGTACATGCCAGGTTGCTTTCAGACAGGAACAGAAGCACTCTATAAGCACTGAAAATTATGACTGCACAGTCCAATTTATTTATTGATCTCCATCTTCAATTGTTAAGGTTCTGCCTGTTTATGTTTCTTTTCTCAGGCTCTTAGATTAGCTAATTACCACACTCTATTTAGAGCAGGGGTGTCAAACTGCTGGCCTATGGGCCATTTTCATCATACGGGAGCCGCGCCCACCCCATTGCCAGCAACAGCAAAAAAGCTCCGATATGTTGCGTGACGTCACGTGATGTCGCAAGTTTGACATGTCTGATTTAGAGAGAAAATTTGTTAAGAATATCCCTGCTGAACTCTCCTGACTAATGCTTGTCTACTCATCCTTTTCACTGGCAATAGGCTTGCTCATTAGGGTTAATTGCCTTATTATCCACTTACAGTTAGAATATGAGTTCTATAATAAATAAGGAGCAATCTTTTGTAATTAGAAGCTAATCAGACAATGTCCTTCATCCCTATCCTTTGTAGTTGAATGCAGTCTCTAAGAACATACTGCTTTTCTGGTTATGCTCCTCTATTCCTTGCCTCTTCCTTCAGTTGAATTCTAGTGGTAAACTGCTTTTTGCTCTTCCTGTTTACTTAGTCAATAGGCCATCATAACTAGTACTCTGTTGTTATTTAAAGGAACAAACATAAATCTGATCTCTTGCAATTTTCCACACTGTCCAATTAATCTTCAAGTTGACCCTTTTTTGGTTTAAAAAAATGTCAAAGGGTGATTGCATTGCAAAACATCTAAGTTAGAGGATGTTAGCGAGATCCATTTACATGCAACAATTTTTATATATACAAGAACAAAAGCATATATGTAATATCAATAAAGGAGAATATTTTACCTCAGGATTGAAGTGGGGGGGTTCTTGGTGCTCTCTGAACTTGCTTGTTTTCTTGCAGATGTTTCATTACCCTAACTAGGTAACATCATCAGTGCTAGTAAGGAGTGCACTGACAGCAAACCGCACTCCTTACTAGCACTGATGCTATTATCTAGTTAGGGTAATGAAACATCTGCAAGAAAACAAGCAAGCTCAGAGAGCACCAAGGACCCCACATATATGCAAGATGAAAGGGAAATATTTATTTCTGAGCATTTTATTTTCATACTTGAAATCAGTTGGTGTGTGACTAGGATTCATTCTGTCCATGTCTGTCCTTTTCTATCAGCAATTAAAAGTATATTTTGTTAAGAAAAGTATAAAACAACCTTTATCCAGCAAACTTCCTTTCTGGAGATGAACCAGCATATTCAAATTACTATCGTATTAGCTTCATAATCAAATATGCATATCTTATTAATTGGGCATGACAAATCATGCCCTTTTTTTCATTACTTACCTGTGCTTTCAGAATGCTGGTGACCCAGTCCCATAGCTCAGATTGCCCTGTGCATGTTAAATACCTACAGAATAAACACTAACAATTATTGCCAATTCTGGTGATCTTTGTCTCATTAACTTCTCTAATTCAACAAATAAGTATAACATCCACCAGAGCAGCTAAAAAAAGTATGAGTTTTTTCAGAGAAAGAACTCAGTAATGGAACATGAGAAGTGCCCTGTCATAAGCAGCGTTTTCTAAAAGCAGCCAAGTAGATAACTATTGTTGTTGCTCATCTTTATGAACTCATAAATAGTATTTATTCCCAAAAATTTTTTTGAACTTGTAATAAAACTTTCTTTTATTAAAGATTAAAGGAAACTTACACTTCAAAGCTGTCAAACTTCTTGATCTAAAGGTTTCTAATAGATTAAAATCAGTTAAAGAGCTATTTCCATAAGAGATTAGAGCAATGGTTCTCTACCTTTTTAATGCCGCAACCCCCAACCGGTTGTAAGTCGAGGACTACTCAATCGGTCGTAAGTCGAGGACTACTCAACTGGTGCAGCACCGTTTGCAGAATGGGACTTTTGGCAGGCTCAGCAGGGCAGAGACAGTCTGGACAAGTCCTATTGGCTTTTGAAAGCCAATAGAATTAGACTCTATTCAAGAGAGTCTATTCTATTGGCTTTCAAAATCCAATAGAATAAAAGGGAATAGCACAGCTAAGGAAAAGGGGAAAAAATGGTGGACTGCGTTGTTTGGCGACCCCCGTGAAATGGTCGTTCGACCCCAAATGGGATCCCGACCCACAGGTTGAGAACCGCTGGATTAGAGGGAAGTTATGTGAACTTAGTGTTCTTTCAAAGGTGCAAGTGTTGTTTAAACAAAATGGCTATTTCCTTACCTCCCCGGGCTCTAAACCCACTGGAGCATGCTATCTTGCAGTCTGGAGCACTTGTGTATCAGTATGTAGGAAAGATACTGCCTACAGAATCGTCAGATAAGAGACAGCACAGCCTGCATTTTGGATAGTGGGTGGGGCAGGAAGCTCAGAAGGGATCCTTCCTAATTTCTCAGCTGTAAAGATGATGGTAAGAAATTGTAGTTTCAGACTTGCAAGATCCTATTCATGCAGCTTTACAATAAATTAGAATTAGCTTATCAGGTTGTGTTTCTTGTCTGGTCTACCTGGTAAAGGCTGAAATCATTTTTGCATATCTCCTTTATAGCTTGAAAAACTAGGAAGGGTTCCTTCTGAGCCTTTTGCCCTGCCCACCATCCAGCTGCAGGCTTAGCTGTCTCTTACGTGACTGTGACCTAGGCAGCATATCTTTGCCCCCTCCCCCCAGGTCCTTCCCACATACCATTACAACATTTGTGAAAACTTTGATTTTAGAAAATCACAGACTAAGGGGCCAGATAAAATTGAAATAAGATTTTGGAATTATTTATTAATTATTAAGAAACCTTCCTGTGGAAATTTGTTTTTGTTTTGAATTTTAAAAAGTAAAATAGAAGGAACTAGAGGGTATTAAAGATTACAATTAATGGAACACATACACTCAACATACAAAAACAAAATAAAGCAAAATATTCTAATGGACATATTGAAATATATTTTTGAACAATGGACTCAGAAGTTAATAATGTCAATAGAGATATCTGCCTCTAGCAAGAGACTGTCTAAAAGGTGTTATGAAACAGGAACAAGTTTTACCTAAGATCTAGAATTTAAAGTAGATTTACAAATGACAGGCTACAAGAATGATATGGTAATAGGTGTTACACTGGACATACAAAAGACATCAGCTGATGATTTAATAATTAAAAGGGATATAGAAACGATAAACCAAGGACCACAACCTGAGTAATTTTTCTATGTTAGATGAGGCTTGTTGCAATTTTGAAGGCTCTTTTGAGAAGAGACAAAGAAAAATGAAAAATAAAATCAAATTGTACAAAAGTATTTGAACAATTAAAGACTAAGATTGTTAAAAATAAAAAGAAGGAATATAAATCTGCTTTATTTAACCAAGGTTAAAATCGATATATGTTATCTCTGATAAATTTTAGAATAGAATACAATTCTTTATAGGATAGAATTCTTTATTGGCCAAGTGTGATTGGACACACAAGGAATTTGTCTCTGGTGCATAAGCTCACAATGTACATATAAACAGCAAGTAATAGAACAGATAATATATCATAAATCATATTTACAATCATTAATCATAAGTTGCAAACAACAATTGATAAATCATAAAAAACTAATAGGAGAAGATAGTAGAGAGATGAGAAGATGAAAAAAGATGAGAAATGAGACAGTGCTGTGAGAATTAATTGTTCAACAGAGTGATGGCACAGGTTGTTTTGGCATGCAATGCTCTGTAGTGGCCTCCTGAGGTGAGAAATTGAAATAGATCATGTCCAGGATGTGAGGGGTCTGTAGATATTTTCTCAGCCCTCTTTCTGGTTCATGAAGTATATACTGTAGGTCCTCAATGGAAGGTTAGGTTGTTTGTGATTATTTTTTCTGCAGTCCTATCTTTCCATTGAAGTCCATGTCTGTCCTGTTTCATTGCTGTACAAAACCAGACAGTTATTGAGATACAAATGACAGATTCAATAATTCCTCTGTTAAACTGTATCAGCAGATCCTTGGACAATCTGAGCTTTCTAAGTTGACACAGGAAGAACATTTTTTGTTGTGCCTTTTTCATGATGGTTCTAATGTTAGGAGTCCATTTCAAGTCCTTGGAGATAATAGAACCTAGAAACTTGAAGGTCTCTACTGTTGATACTGTGTTGCCTAATATTGTAAGAGGTGGTAGAATAGGAGAGCTGCTTCTAAAATCTACTCATATCTACAGTTTTAAGAGTGTTCAACTCCATATTGTTCTAGATGCACCACAGGGCCAGTTGATCTACCTCTCAGCTATATGCAGACTCATCATCATCTCAAATGAGACCAATGACTGTTGTATCATCTGCAAACTTTAATACTTTAGCAGAAGGATCCTTCAAGATGCAGTCATTGGTATATACCAGTGGTTCTCAACCTGTGGGTCGGGACCCCATTTGGGGTCGAACAACCATTTCACGGGGGTCGCCAAACAAGGCTGTCCGCCATTTTTTTCCCCTTTTCTTTGGCCACGCCCCTGGCACCTGGTGATGTATAAGTGGTTGGGGGTCACCACAACATGGGGAACTGTATTATGGGGTCGCGGCATTAGAAAGGTTGAGAACCACTGGTATATACAGAGAAGAGTAATGGAGAGAACTCACAGCCCCAGTGGGCACGTATGCTAACTGAATGGGTATTCAATGTGATTTTCCCTAGCTTCATCTACTGCTTCCTATTTGTTAGAAAGTTTATAATCCATCTAAAAGTGTGGTCAGACACAGCTAGCTGAGTCAATTTAGAGAGGAGGATTTCAGGAATGATGGTGTTGAATGCCAAGCAGAAGTCTACAAAAAGGACCCTTATATAGTTCTTTGGGGATCAAGATATTGTAAGATGTAGTGAAGTGCTATATGGACAGCATCATATGCCAATCTAGTTGCACTGTAGGCAAGTTGCAAGAGGTCTAGCAGCAGATTTGTAATGGCTTTCAGGAGGGCCAACACTAACCTTTTGAAGGTTTTCATAACTACAGATATCAGAGCCACTGGTCTGTAGTGATTCAACTCCTTGATGGAGGGTTTCTTGGACACCAGAATGATAGCAGAGCATTTGAAGCAGGGAGGGACATAGCACATTTCCTGTGATTTATGGGTGAAGATGTAGGCCAGTTGATCAGCACAAACTTTTAAGCAAGAGGGAATTATCCTGCCTGATCCTGATGCTTTTCCATCTTTTTTTCCTGTGAAATAGATCTTGCATATCTTTTTTTCTGATCACCAGAGATAGGTGGCCCAGAGGGATGGAGTCGGGTGTAGGAGACTTAGCTGTTATTGGTGTATCTGAGATGGAGAGGGTAGTGATAGTTGACAGTGGTCTCCTCTCAGACCTACAGTAGAAAACATTCAGGTTATATGCCAGTTGCTGATTCTCTTCCATAAGGGAGGGAGGTCTGCTGTGGCCAGTGATATTTTCAGGCTTTTTCACACATTTGCTGGTTTATTTATGGAGAGGTGATTCCTCAGCTTTTCAGAGTAGCTTATCTTTGCTGCACTGATCTCCTTTGTTAATACATTCCTGGCCTGATTGTACAGTCTAGGACATTTAGGCCCTGACCCTTGCCCGTACCCCCTTCACTCTCAGCTACCAACCTCAGCTGATATACAGCCAGCTTTCCTCCTCCAGTAGCCCTCCCCCGGCCATTCTCCATGGCCAATGGCCCCCCTGGTCCTCCACTCCGGCCCTTTTCCCCTGCCCATTCACCCAGGCACTATTTCACCCAGGCATTTTGCTGCATGGAACAAATAGCCCCCAGCCAGTCGGGTGGCAGGCAGAAGCAATGGTGCTGTGGGGGCAGCATACGATTGGCTGTGGATAGGACAATGAAACAACATTAAAAAGTGGGCAGAGTGAAGGAAGGAAACACTAGGACTAGAATGGGTTAGCAAGGTGATCATTGGGAGGGGAAGGGGGAGCAAACTTTGTGGAAAAATAAAAAATCATTTAGATGCATTTCACCCGGTGGAGCCCTCACATTATAGGGGTCCAACAGGGGACCAGGGACCAGACAGGCACCAGGAGGAAGGGGGACTGAAACCAGACTGGCGTGAATGCAGAAAAGGGGGAGGGGTCTGGGAGAACTGAGTTAAGAGCCACACAGAGGCCCATCTGATCCGTCCACTGGTAAAAATGTGCCAGGACCCTTTTGGCATGTCAGAAGAGCCTGCAAACTGTGGAGGCCCAAACCCATCCCAACTGTGGAGTCTCTGTATTCTATTCACACTTTCTCAGGTAGCGCTATGTAAACATATAGATGCCCCCATGCACAATTTCCATTCTTCTCTCTCTCTCCACAACTCTCCCAAGTCTAGATGCCCTCCAGGCAGTCTGTATTACAATTCCCATCCTCCCCCACTTTCTTTCAATCTCCTCGACCCAGAATGCAACTGGTCACAATGCTCATCACCCCTAAGGGCTGTTTTGGCTGGCTCCTCCCCCCTTCATTTCCTGCATTGTTGGAGCTGGCTGAGTTGTGAGCCAATCTGTCTCTGTGAAGTCCCCTAGAGGTGCCCCTCCCTCCCTGGTCCCCCAACATACTCTCGCCTGTCTGCCTTCCCAGTGGCCCCAGTGGTTGCTACTCCCGCCACTACTTCCTCTTCCCTTCCTTCCGGTCCTGGGACAGATCCGCACAGCCCTGAACAGCGGGATGCTTTCATGCAGCAGCTTTGCCATTCTTGACACCTTCTTTTTATAACTAGGGCCCCATCCCGCCCAGTACAACCTGTCAAACCATAGCTCTTGTCATAAGCACAACCCCTTTTAAAAAAAAACCTTGCAGAGCAGCCCTGGAGTTTAAAAAAAAATTGCATCGCACACTGCCCCCCCCCTCAGCCCTGGCAATCACACGCTGCCCTTGCAGCACCATTGCTTCTGCCTGCCACCCGATTGGATGAGGGGCTATTTGTCCTGTGCTGCAAAATACCTGGGTCAAAAGATGCCTAGGCAAATGAGAAGGGACGAAGGGCTGGGACGGAGGGTCAGGGGGCCATTGGCCATGAAAAATGGCTGGGGGAGGGCCAGCGGAGGAGGAAAGCTGGCTATAAATCGGCTGAGGCAGGTAGCTGGGGGCAAAGGGGTGAGGCCAAAGATCGGTGCCTAAACATCCCATTCTGGATTGTACAGCATTCTATCTGATTTCTTGTAGGCTTCCTCTTTGGCACAGCATAGATGTTTGATCTTAACTGTGAACCGAGGACCCAGATTGTTGGGGGCAATATACTGACTCTGTAAACCGCTTAGAGAGGGCTGTAAAGCATTGTATATAAGTCTAAGTGCTATAGCTATTGCTATTATTACTGTAGATGCATAAAGTTTTGATCTGCATACATAAGGTCTCACAAAAACTAACATATGACATCACAGTGTTAGTGAGTTCATCCAATTCCGCTGATGCAGCTTTGAAAACATTCCAGTGCAGTCAAGGCAAGCCTGTAGTTTTAACTTTGCCTCTTCAGTCCAAGACTTCACTGTTTTAACTATTATTTTATGATTTTAAGCTGTTGCCTATAAACAAGCGCAAGGGGACTCATTCAGTGATCAGGGTGTCCCATAGCCACTCTTGGTAGAGAGTGATAGGCATCTTTTATTTTAGAGTAGCAGTGGTTAAAATATTCTTGCCTCTAGTGAGAGAGTTGACATGCTGAATGTATCTTGGACGCTTTTGGTTTAGGTTAGCACTGTTAAAATCTAATACAGTGAGTAGAGAGTCTGGAGATCTCTGTTCAGCTCATAGGGTTTGGTCAATTAAGGTTTGCAATGCCTTGTTTATGCAAGTTTGGGGTGGTATGTAGACCCCAACTAGGATGAATGAAGAAAATTCTTGGGGGGAGGGAAATAATAGGATATGCAAATGGTGAATAGTGTCTGTAAGTCCACATCACCACATTTCTTTAGTATGGTGACCTTTTTACAACATCAGTTGTTAATATAAAAGCAGATACCTCCACCCTTCTTTTTACTGGATGGTTCTGCAATTCTGTGTGCTCTTTGAATCTGAAATCCTAGGATTTTCAAGCAGTTATCATTAACTGAATCATCCAGCCATGTTTCAATGAAACAAAGGGCTGCTGAGTTGGAAAAGTCTGAGTTCTTATTTAAAAGGAGCAATCCATCTATCTTATTTACAAGTGAGTGAAGATTAGTAAATGGAATCCTAAGTTGCATTAACAGAGGGATTGAAACAAGGTCACGTGAGGTACTAGTATCACTCTATAAAGCCTTAGTAAGGCCACACCTACAATACTGCATGAAGTTTTGATCACCACACTATAAAAAAGGTGTTTAGACTCTAGAAAGAGTGCAGACAAGAGCAACAAAGATGATTAGAGGCATGGAGGCTAAAACCTATGAAGAATAGTTGCAAATGTAAGAGGTAAAATAATATCAGGAATTGTTTAATGATATTTTTTAAAAGGTGGGCAGTACAAATCCATCTATTTTAAAGATATACAGACAGGGATAACACATTGGCAGTATCATATGAAGACATTTAATCCTAATAAGATCAGCTGAAACTTAAGGAGTAAGCTTAACAATGGCAAAATGGAGTAACTTAAGCTTTTTAGAAATAGGACACATGCAGGATAATTACTTTGAAATATGTAGGTTCTATAGGAAGCTAGATGTAACTGCAAGTAGGAGAAAATATAAAAATAAAGATAGGGCTAGTGTCAGCAAAAGGTCATTGTTAACAGATATATGAAATATAAGGGCTTTTTCCTGGGAGGGGATGAACTGAAATGTATTTAGGCGCTTCGGATTAGCTGATCGGGATGAGCAGGTGGGCTGTTGAGTGCGATGGGGTGGGGGGGGAACCAGCTTCGTGAGAGGGTATAATGTGATTTTAAAAATTGTGTGTGTGGCTTAATCTCCTGCATGAGTTTAAGACCACCAGCCTTTGCAAAAGCATTCTTTCAATAAAACTTTGTTCCTGGAATCCCAAGTGAGTTTGTTTGGAAATCTGAGCCACGTTCCAGACACAAGAATTGGCAATGGCTAATCTCGTGAAGAGAAGGACCAGGGGAGACATGGTAGCAGTGTTCCAATATTTGAGGGGTGATCACAGAAAGGAGGGGGACAACCTATTTTCAAAAGCACCCAAAGGCCAGACAAGGAATAATGGATGCGAACTGATCAAGGAGAGATTCAACCTAGAAATAAGGAGAAATTTTCTGACAGTGAGAATAATCAACCCATAATGGAACAGCTTGCCTTCAGAAGTGCTTGATCACTGGAGGTTTAAAAGAAGAGACTGGACAGCCACTTATCAAATACCGCAAGGGGAAGGGAAAGTTTCTTACCCCAAGCTTCCTGTGTCTTTGTAAAATGACTCCTCACTTGCCCTTCCTTCTCTTGTTTCTCTTCTGCCTTTTTTTAACTGACATGGCAAGAGAGATAATTGCCATTCCCTCAGCCAGAATTTCCTCCGCATTTGAAAAGAAAGCTGCTTGTTATTTAAAGTCCACTGTCTGATATTCAAAATCTCATCTCTTGAATATGAAATTTGCAGAAGGTCACAGAAAATAATAGAAAACATCAGTACTATTACTAATGGATTTTTGCTGACATCAGGATTGAAATAAATATGCTTTATGGATTTGTTTATAGATGAAAGATGGGATTTGGGAAGAAGCATCTGTTGCATTTTAAGAAAAGGTGATAAGTTACTAAAATTGTTTATACATGAAGGTAGGAAATCACTTCTTTATATATTACTTTTCTTTTTATTATATTCTTGTTTTTCTTTCTTTTCTTAATCTATGTTTTCTTTTCTGTACATTCTATGTTTTAAAATTTGTATTAGTTTGTATTTTATTTGAATTCTATAGCCACCCATCTCAACAAATGACTCTAGGTAGTATACATCATAAAAACAAAATAATGAAAACAATACAATATATATATATGATCATATTTATATTATAAATTATAATCTTTAATAACATTATTATTTAAAAAAAGGGAAATCATGAATGATCATCACCCTGCAGATGTTGCAGTTCTCTCATCTTTAGCTTATCAAAGAAACTATGTATTTAAACTTCTTTAAACTCTGCTACCACAGAATAATAAACTACATCTCTGGAAATAGAAAACAGTACACCATCACTGTTTCCATTTGTTAAAGTTGAATATTTACTATTTACACTGCCTATATCCCCAAGGTAACCTGACAGGCCCAGTAGCATTTTCTTACCAAGGTTTTTCATCAAGAATGGAAACAAATCTAAGCTGTGCATTAAATTTTGAATGGTGACATTTGTAGATTGAAATGCAGCCAATCGAAATATGGTAAGGACGTTATCTACCATTGTATAAATGAGATGAAACAATATTTGTGTTATTCTTTTCTTTAGCTTCTCTGTGCTTGAGATGACAAAAGCACCAAGAAAGAAGAACAAACTAAATGGTAGAAATATGGATAGTCAGTGATTGAGCAGGGGTTGGACTAGAAGACCTCCAAAATCCCTTCCAATTCTGTTATTTTGTATTCTTATAATGGCAATGTAATCACCTGGCCAGAGCATGTATTAGCTGTGAGAACTGTTTGGCATTTAAAGGGTTAAGCGCTGTCACCTTAAGAGATGACTTATGAGTAATGTAGTTTTAGTTGTTCAGTGAATCCTATGTTAACAAGTCAATGGGAGGGGCTACTAAGTTCATCACAGGATATCCTGGCTATGTGCCAGCTTGTAAAAGAAGCCTTTGTGAAGAAAGACACGATGTGATATGTCCTAAATAATATTGTAGATAATGTTGAGTTATAATGCATTGTATTTTAAGTTGCATGTTTAATTTTAGGTGCAGAATTATATAACAAGGTTTATATTCACTTCACTGATCATATTTTTGTAAAAGATACTCACAATTGCTGTTTTTGAAGAATTAGAGTAAAGCCCCATCTGTAATAATGAGAAATAGGGTATGATTAGAATTTAAACAATGAGCTGAAACTAATTAATGAGCTGAAACTAAACACATCTGGGGCTAATCTATAGCCACTTAAACAAACAACTACATCACCAAAACCTGTAGTCCCTAAGTTCTTGATAGGAGAAATTTTGTTGATAGTAATTTCCTGCTTTTATTTCTTTTTTTGTGTGTGAAAAGGTTGGAGCACTAAAAGGTACCCTAAGCCTTGCAGGTAATTAAGAATTTTCACTCTTTAAAACTTCTCTCTGCCCCCAAATCAGGTTGATTTTTCCTGCTTCGAACATACTTTAAGGTGCTTGACCATCTTCTGTACCACATATAAGGCACAAAGGCAAAGGATCATTGTAGGGAACAGGAGATGTTGCCCCCACCCAAACATAAAGAAGCTAAGAATGTATCTTCACAGAGGAATGCAACATCTTTCCACATGTCTCTTTGCTTTTTTTTTTGTTGTTGTTGTTCCATTTCATGTATTAAATGATGGCAAATGTGTATTAAGGCTTCTACGAAGAACTGGAACTTGCTACCAGTATATTCTGTGCATAAAGCTATAGGTAGTCCTTGACTTACAACCATTTATTTAGTGACTATTCAAAGTTACAATGGCACTGAAAAAAGTGACTGATGACCATTTTTCACACTTAAAACTGTTGCAGCATCGCCATGGTCACATGATCAAAATTCAGATGCTTGGCAACTGACCCATATTTATGATGACTACAATGTCCTGGGGTCATGTGACCACCTTTTGCAACCTTCCGACAAGCAAAGTCAGTGGGGAAGCCAGTTTTACTTAACAACCATGTTACTAACTTAATAATTGCAACAATTCACTTAACAATTGTGGAAAGAAAAGTCATAAAATGGGGCAAAATTCACTTAACAACTGTCTCACTTAGAAACAGAAATTTTGGGCTCATTATGGTTGTAAGTCAAGGACTACCTGTATATAGAATAGTAATCAGTGCTTGGACAGTTTTGACATTTAAATATCTACCACGCTGTAAATATTGCATCTGATAGCCACTTGCCGTGAAGGTGGTTTCAGTTTTTTTCGGATCCCCAGGTAAACCTTGGCCATATCCAGTAGCCACTCTCGCTCTGGCTTGACACTCTAGAGGTGTACAATAGAAAGACAATCCTCAATTCACATATATATAGAAAGGATTACAGTTTACATTAGGATTATTTTGTCCACCTTTATTTCACTACATCCAGGACATTTGACCAGACAATTACTATTCAACCTTAATGAAGTGGAATTATTTTTTCACTATACAAGCACACTTGAAATAGCTTTTAGTCACTTGCATATGTAATCTATTATGCCAATTCAACAAAAACCCAATTCCTAGATTCTTGAGAAAGGCAACATTCAAATTATGGACTTAACTTTTCTATTTCCTTACTTTTATTTAAAATGCTCTTGTCCAATAACCTAAGGATACTTTTTGTCATAGAATTCATTTCCATAGGATGCCTCAGCCAAGACCTGTGAATTAGTTTTGTAATGCCATTTAAAACAAGAGACCACAGACTATCTTTCTGGAGTGGATCATGAAACATATGAGCAGTTGCAATTGTAGCAGAGAATTATCGTCCTTCCCCGATAATAAGACATATCCCCAAAATAAGCCGTAGCTAGCCTGATTTTCACACGAGCACTTAACATAAGCCCTACCCCTAAAATAAGCCCAGTTTTGTGGCGAGGCATAAATGTAAAAATCAAGCTAGGGCAGAGATGGAGGTGCCCTGCACCTTTCATCCTTTCCTCGACTTTCAAATTATTTGGTTTCTAGTCTCTTGACAATCCTCAGTGTTCTTCTCTAAACCTGTTTCAATTTCTCTACACATATTCTTATTAACCTTGCTTTTTGCTAATTATCTTTTTTAAAAATATAGTTGTCAGTTGCCACCTTATGCTTGGTTGTGCTTCATTGCTATGAACTGTGGAGAGGGGGAATGAAGGGGGGAATGTTTCAGAACATGAAAGTAGGTGGTGTATCTCCTTGAGATGCTGCCTCAAGGTCACACAGCTGGAAAATGGAGGGGACCACATACCAAACTGTGCTTGGACGTACTGTTATGAAAACATCTTGCTTGAACCTGATTGGTTACACTGGGGAGGGCAAGGAGACAGTTAAGGGAGAGAAAAGTAGAACTTGGAGATTTTAGTGTGCAATTTTCAGTTCTGGCTTTGCACTATTGCAATACACTTGATCTTTAATAAACTCTATCTTTCTCAACAAATGGAACCAAGGATCATTTTTATTTAGAGGTTTAAATTGTGGCTGGTTCAACAGTAAGCCAGAACTGCATTCTTTAATCCACCTGGAGGATTAACCTACCATGGGGATTTTGCAAACTTTAAAACCATGACTAGCTCTGGTGAAGACCAAGCAGAGCTGGAAGGCAGGGAAGAATTCACGACAGGACTTAAGGGCAACTGCAAAAGTCTTGACCTGGAAGAGGAGTCAGAGGTTCAACAAACCTGGAGAAGGAACCAGAGAACCTCAGCCAAGCCCAGCGCCTGACTTAAGATAGCCACATGGAGGCTGCCACCACTGCTCCAATCTCCCAAGAAATGGAGAGAGTCTCCAATGCCAAGGGACTGGCCCTGATTGTCTCTTGGCATCAGAAAATCAGACGAAGCACCGGCGGGGGTGACCATCACCAAAGGATTCGAAGCCAAGCCACGCCACCCAAGGGGATGGCACAACCTGTGTCAAACCTGGAGAGGAGCTCCCGACATGACCATCAACCAGAGGGTCGAACTCATTGAAGAAATGCTTGGGGAGCTCTTGGCCTATTCCCCCATGGAGCACCCCATTTCTGCATCTGGACTGGTAGTAGTAGTAGCCCAGCCCGCTGCCCCAACACCCCTGATCTAGCAGGGCCAGTGAGGCAAGACAATTGTCAGATCCCAGAGTTGAAAGTGAAATTCAGAGAAGAGGCGGAACAACTGGGGTACTTCCTCACCCAGGTTTGGAATTTCAAAGTATACCATGGACCAAGCTTCCTGGACAACAAAGTCAAGGTGAACTGCATCACCATGGCTCTGGAGGGGGAGGTGGCCAACTGGGTGGTTTCACTCCACAATGTTGGCACCGAAGAGCTGTATGACTTTGACTACTTCATGATCACTCTGAGACAATGGTTTGAAGACCCTCTGGCAGACCAGAAAGCAAAGATAAGGATCAAGACCATCTGGCAGGGCAGACGATCAATCACAGCTTACATCCAAGAATTCTGGGGGTTGGCTAGCTGGCTCCCAGACTGGCCACAAGACATGGAATGGAGTACTTGCAACAAGGCCTAAACCTGGAGGTCCTAATCACTTGCCTGTCCCAGGGGTCACCCAGAATCCTGTATGAGTACTACATCCTAGCAGGCGAGGTGGAAATCCACCTTGCCATTATCCATAAGACCATATACCAAGGACCATGAGTGGTCAGAGTGATGGAGAAGAAAGCCCCCTCAAAGATGAGCAAAGGAGAGTCCAATCTCAAGCAGCACCCTGGGATCTGCTTCTGTTGTGGCAAAGAGGGTGATCAAACAGCCGATTGCTCAAGCCCACAGCAGGGGCCCATGATTAAGCACTGAAAAGAGGGAAAGCTATAGCCAAACCCAAGGCCATTGCCAGAGAAGGGGACAAAGTCAAAGAGTTCTCTTTATCCTCCAGCGAGGAGGAAGATAACCTGATGAAGAGCCAGAAACTGGTTGGAGAGGATGGCAGCAGTGACAATGATCCACTGGGGACTCAAAACTAATGGCAGTGAGGGTGCAAATAAGAATAGCCTCTTTGGGGCAGAAAATGGAATTAGTAGCTTTAATAGACTCTGGATGTACCCGATATCTTATAAGCCTAGCTGTAGTAGAGGGGCTTAGAATGCAATTCTGCAAACTAAAAGTACTGGTGGCATTCCAATAGTTGAATCACTTCTCTAGATTTGTAACAGAACTCATGGAGATGAAAATCGGAACCCATGTGGAAGCCATACATTTCATTGTGGCACTAAATATGGATATGGCTTTAATTTGGGGGTTCACATGGCTAGAGAAATGGAATCCTGTGATATGGGTGAGGAAACACCTAAGATTCCCTCAGCCACGCCCAGGCCACAAGGCAGCTGTGGAAGTAGAACTTTGCAAGTATGCCCCCCCCACAGCACAAAGGGGAGGATGCGGGTGAATTATCCTGCCCAGTGAGAGATGGGGAGGGGCCCCCATCCCAGAAGAATACTGGCACCTTAAAGAAATGTTCAGTAAGTGGGAATCAGATAAACTCCCTCCTCACTGCCCCACAGATTACACCATTGAGATTCTACCCAGAACTAAGCTTCCCAAGCCTGAGCTATATTCTATGGCACCCAGGGAGCTGGATGCATTTAGAGAATCATTGACAAGAACTCAGCTGACAGTTCATACAGCCCATGGCAGTGCCCATATTGAAAAGAAAGATGGGTCTTTGAGCCTGCATGTAGACTACAGAGGCCTGAATGGCATTTGCATGAAGAACATGTATCCATTGCCTCTGATGAAGGACATGCTGGCCCACCTAGCCAAAGGCAAAATCTTTACTAAGCTGGACTTGAGAGAGGCATATTAGTGGGTGCAAATTAAAGCTGGAGCCTATTGAGTTGTTTCCTGTTCCAGGTTCTTCCTTTTGGCCTGTATGGGGCACCCACCATGTTCATGCAACTAATTAATGAAGTCCTGCATGAACATTTATTCAAGGGGGTCTTGGTCTATTTGGATTACATCTTAATGTATAGTGAAGCCATGGAGGAGCATGTTAAGCTGGTAGAGACTGTCCTACAAAAGCTATTGGTAGCACAGTTATAAGTGAAACTTCCCAAGTGTGAATTTCACCAATCCAAATTGGACTACCTAAGCTAGTAGGACTCCCATGAAGGAGTGGAGATGGAGCCAGAAAAGGTGTGAATAGTAGTGGAATGGGAGGTGCTGCGCATCTGAAAGCAGTTGCAGAGCTTCCTGGGCTTGGCAAATATTTATAGACAATTCATTTTACCCAGATTGTTTTGCCATTAACCAATTTGTTAAAAACTGAAGGGGAGGGAAAGCCTAAAACTGGAACCCACTTCAAATGGTCTATGGAATGCCAGAAGGCTTTTGAAAAGCTCAAGAGATTATTTGCAGCTGAGCCAATTCTGAAACACCCAAACTCTGATAAGCCTTTTGCCATTCAGGCAGATGCAAGTGATGTAGTGGTTGGAGTGGTTCTTCTCTAGAAGGATCCCAAGGGGCCTTGCAACCATATGCTTACACTTCCAAAAACTGTCTGAGGAAGAATGTAGATGGATGGTTTGGGGAAAAGAGGCTTATGCAGTGAGATGGGCATTACTCACATGGTGGCACTTTCTGGAAAGGAACAAGGAACCTTTCGAGATCTGGACTGATCATAAAAGCCTAGAAGCACTGAACACCCTCCCCCCTGAAAGCTATCCCCTAAACATGTGAGGTGGATGCAATACTTCAATTGATTTAATTTTACATTACAGTGTTTGGGGGAAGAAATATTCTAGCAGACACCTTGTTGAGAATGCCTCAGTGTAATAGTATCAGGAAGGAGGTGGTGGATGCCATTATGCCCTCCAATCAAATAGCAACATAAGTTACCACCAGGGTCCAGCAGAAAGCACTACCCAATTTGGCTGAGGACAGGACCCTGGGAATAAAAACAGCCCTGCTCCAAGATGAATGGTTCTCAAAAAACAGGGAAAACATATGCACATGCAATAGACTTGCATGGGTGGGCAGCAAACTGTATGTGCCAGACAGCCAATAGCTCTTAGTTTTACAGAGGAGCCACTACTCTAAAACAGCAGGGCATTTTGATTTCATTAAAACCTTACATCTGGTCCAGCATGAAAAAGGATGTAGAAGCTATATGGCTAGTTTTACAGTGGCAAAGGGATGGTAGGCAAGCCATGGGGGCTATTACAGCAGACGGCTAACCCCTCAGCACTCTGGAAAGAAATCTCCATGGATTTCATTGTTGAGCTACCTGAAAGCTCTGGGAACATTGTGATTTTGGGTTACTACCACCATTTTTTCAAAACAAGTACATTTTGTGGCATGCCCAAAGATCCTCTCTGCACAAACCCTGGGAAAACCGTGCAACACATTCATCATCTGCATGGGGCTTCTGAGAGAATTATCTCTGATCAAGGAGTGTAATTCACCTCTCAGTTCTGACAACGGTTCTTGAAATTACTAGGGATCACCTAAGGTCTTAATTCCTTGCATCATCTTCAGATTAACAGTGCTTATGAACACACCAATGGAAAGTACCTGAGATGTTATGTCAGTTATCAGCAGGATAATTGGGCAATAAGATAATTGGGCAGACCTGCTCCCATTTGCAGAGGTGGTATATAACAATGCAATATATAGTAGCACTGGCTTTGCCCCTTTCCAAGTTGCAACTGGCAGAGACTTTATTGCCATGCCAGAACTCCCATAGGAGGCACCTAAGTGCCTCACCTTAACAGAGTGGGTGAAACAATTGCAAACTATGTGGCCAGTGGTTTGCCAGGTGTTGGATGAGGCCAGAGAAATGTACAAGAAATATGCTGACAAAAAGACAACCACAGAAAAAAATTGAAGTAGGGGATGAAGTTTATTTGTCTACCAAGTATGTCTACCTTCAAAAAAGCTTGGACCAAAATTTGTAGGTCCTTTCCCCACTATAAGAATTAGTAACCCAGTAACTATTGAACTTAAATTACCAAATTACCAGCCATTTGTTTGAAATGGTCTAGGGCAGTGGTTCTCAACCTTGGGTCGGGACCCCATTTGGGGTCGAACGACCATTTCACGGGGGTCGCCAAACAATGCAGTCCGCCATTTTTTTCCCCTTTTCCTTAGCTGTGCTACTCCCTTTTATTCTATTGGCTTTTGAAAGCCAATAGAATAGACTCTCTTGAATAGAGTCTAATTCTATTGGCTTTCAAAAGCCAATAGGAATTGTCCAGGCTGTCTCTGCCCTGCTGAGCCCGCCAAAAGTCCCATTCTGCAAACGGTGCTGCACCAGTTGAGTAGTCCTCGACTTACGACCGGTTGAGTAGTCCTCGACTTACGACTGGTTGGGGGTCACGGCATTAAAAAGGTTAAGAACCACTGGTCTAGGGTCTCCTGCATGAGCGGGGATGGGGAGCTGGACTAGAAAACCTCCAAGGTCCCTTCCAACTTTGTTATTCTGTTCTGTTGTGTTAATTTGTCAGATTACTATACCTGTTTTTCTTTGAGTAGAAGCAACTTTTGATCCTTGATGACAAAGTAGCGTTCTTGAAATTTATTCCCCAGAAGCTTGGCCAATTCCTCACGGCATTTTAAAAGACCGCATTTTGGGCTCTCACGTTTAGTATCTATAGCAAAATAGAGACATTGGGAATAAATTTGACGAAGAGAAGGTATATTTCAAATACATATACTGGGCAAATTACTTATCGAATTGTTATTTAGTAATTATGTGGCAGACATGTGACATCTTTTTAATTTCATGATTCTTTGCTGAATCTGAATATCTTTTTCTAAGAAAGATGGTGATGGGAATAGACACATCCTCTGGAGTACCTGAAGGTGGCTGTTGAAAGGTTTGCCTGCCTGCTCGTTGCTGTCTGCTATAGGCCTTCTTTCTTTGGCAACCAGGGGAGCAATTGATCAGCCATGGAGTTCTGCTATTAAACGATTATGGCCTGGTGAAACACTGAAGGATCACCCAGTGCCTGAGTGAGTACATAGGAAACCTGCCACAGCAAGTGATTTTAAACATAATATATAAAGAAATATAAAATAAATTCTTGAAAGAAATCCTTTAGTCTCCAATCTTGGTATCTCTCCTCCATTTCAGGAGTAATGCAAAGCAAAATGTTTTGAAATGGAAGCTTATCAAAGAGAGATTCAACCTAGAATTAAGGAGAAATTTCCTGAAGTGGTAGTGGGGCAGAGAGGAATGAGTTAAAGCAGCGGCAGCACCATACAAGCCTGAGGGAGAGACAGCTGGAGCTGCAGGGCTATTGGGGCTCTGCAGAGGCACCAGGATCAGCACTGGGCTCCAGCTGATCAGTGCTTCCAGGAGAGGAAAGGATATAAAAGGAGGTGGCTCACCTCTCCCAGACCCTGCATACATGTTTATGTGTGTGTGTGTGGGGGGTCTCACCTCTTGCAGCCCACACTGTGCCATTGAGGAGGAAAAAAACAGGAGAGGTAAGAGAAGCTGCAATGGGAGTTCCTTGCAGCCTTCCACGGGGTTGGGGGCGAGAGCTGAGGGGCACAGGACATGATGCGATCAGCAGCACATGGAGAAAAAGAAACAAGGACTCCAGAAAAACAGTTTTCATTACTTTGCAGCCTGCCATTGCAGAAGGTCTCTGTTGAGGGTCCGTGGCTGCAAGGGGTGAGAGACACACATACACACCCCGTGCGTGCACTTGCATATACACAAACACATGTGCGAGTCTGGGAGAGGTGAGCTGAACTGAGCTGAGTCATGCAGAGGCAATGACAGGTAGGGGGGGAAGTCTTTGCTAATCACTGCCTGACTGTTCCACCTCTGCCCAGAGCCTCTGGCAGTTTTTTTTTAAAAAAGCAGGGGAGGGCGGGAGGGAGGGAGGGAGGAAGGGAGGAAGGAAGGAAGGAAGGAAGGAAGGAAGGAAGGAAGGAAGGAAGGAAGGAAGGAAGAGTCAGGGAAGGAGGGAGGGAGGGAACTTGGTTGGAAAGGCAACTTGGTTGGAAATGCCCCAGTTCAAAGGAGGGCTGTTGGGGCTGAGCAAAGCCCAGGATCACCATGAGCAGCTACAGCTGATTGGCTCTTCTGCAGGGCTATGAGGGCTGAGCAGAAGCCCAGGATTGCCATGACCAGCTACAGCTGATCGGCGCTTCTGCAGGGCTATGAGGGCTGAGCAGAAGCCCAGGATTGGCGCACACTTCTGTAGGGTTGCAGGGGTGAGACAGAAGCCCCAGGATCGGTGCTTCGAGTGCACATGGAAGAGAAAAGGAGGGGGGAGAGGAGAGGAAAAAAAGAATGGGGGAAATAGAAAGGGATTCCAAAAGATAGACAGAAAAGTGCAGCCTTGAGAGGAATCAGCTGCAGGTGCATGGAAGAGAAAGCTGGGGAGAGAGAGGAGAGGATATAAAAGAAGGGGAGAGAAGAGAGGATATAAAAGAAGGGAGAGAAGAGGATATAAGAAGGAGGAGAGAAGAGAGGATATAAAGGGGGGAGAGAAGAGAAGCTATAAAGGGGGGAGAGAAGAGAGGATATAAAGGGTGGGAGAAAAGAGAGGATATAAAGGGGGAGAGGAGAAAAGATATAAAAGGGGAAGAGAAGAGAAGATATAAAAAGGGGAGAGAAGAGAGGATATAAAAGAAGGGAGAGAAGAGGATATAAGCAGGGGATAGAAGAGAGGATATAAAAGGGAGGAGAGAAGAGAGAATATAAAAGGAGGGGAGAAGAGAGGATGTAAAGGGGGAGAGAAAAGAGTATATAAAAGGGGGAGAGAAGAGAGGATATAAAAGGGGGGGAGAAGATATAAAAGGGGGGAGAGAAATTTGTTAAATGAGTTTGCCCCATTTTATGACTTTTCTTCCTGCAGTTGTTAAGTGAATCACTATAGTTGTTAAATTAGTAACATGGTTGTTACGTGAATCTGGTTTTCCCCTGACTTTGCTTGTCAGAAGGTTGCAAAAGGCAATCACATGACCCTGGGACACTGTGACCATTATAAATATGAATCGTTTGCCAAGCATCCGAATGTAAATCATATGATTCTAGGGATGCTGCAATGGTCATGTGTGAAAATGATCATAAGCAGGGCTTTTTTTCTCATAGAATGCCCAGAACGGAGTTCCAGCACCTTTTTTGGATGGAACCTTGTAGAGTAGGCAAGGCGGGTTGTAAGATTTGTGTGATTTCTGACATCTTTTTTTTAAAGAAAAAAAGCACTGATCATGTCACTTTTTTCAGTGCCGTTGTAACTTTGTGAACAGGCACTAAGAGAACTGTTTTAAGTCAAGGACTACCTGTATTTTATCACTTTTTTTCCGGGGTTTTTTGGTCATCAAGTTTTTGACATCTTGTTAGGCAACTGGTGGTACTTGAATATTGCTATATTCTAAAAGTGGTACAATCGATGAAAAGGTTGAAAAGCCCTGTCCTAACAGGTAGAAATCGGCTGCAGTGTGCAGAGCCCACAATCCCTCAGCTGTTGCGCTAACTGTGCAAAACCGGAAGCCCTAACTCCATTTCTATACAGATAAGAATGCTATAGAAAATGTTCTGATGGTTTTAAAAACAGTAACAAGTATATTTGTCTCTTAAATAGTAGGCTCACTCACCTGTGAAAAGGCAGCTTCCTTCCTCAATGGCTACCTTTTTCACAATTAAATATGCAGAGCTGGGTTTTGGTAACTTGCACCACTGTAGGGCCTGCTCTAGAACTTTCTCCTTGGGATGCAAAGGACGCTCTGAAAAATGATGTTCAGAAAAAAGAGTCCAGAATATGCAGGTATAAAGGAGGCATCCAGGAAACTAAACATCAGAAGTATGTGAAGGATACGGTATATTACATCTTTACTCCAGGGAGAACAGAATATCTGGTGGAAAACTTGACCCAGACCCTTGAGGATAAGGTAGAACAAACTCAGATTTAATTCCAAAAACACAGAATAAGTGTTTCTGCAGAAACCGTCAGATGTCAAGAAAGTACTGTAATTTTTTTTGCTCTGGATGGGATAGCACACACCCTGGAGAAATGGAATATCTGGGGATTTTCTTGGATTCACGATCCCATTTAAACAGAATCCCACTACATTACACAGTGATTCATTTCTTTGTTCTCTCTTGGTTACATCATTGAATTTTGTTCTACATGGAGCTGTTGATGTTGATGTCTTGGAAGCTACAACTGGAGCAGATACCATGTTTCCCCGAAAGACCTACCCCGAAAATAAGCCCTAGCTTGATTTGGGGGGGGTTATAATATAAGCCATACCCTGAAAATAAGCCCTAGTTTGGGAGCAAGGCTCATGCCTAAAAATCAAGCTAGGGTGGGGTAGGGAGTGGAGCTGCCCCATGCACCCCGGACTCACTTACCTTACTTGTAGGAATGCCACAAGCAGGCCTCCTATGCCCTGACACTTGTTGCACTGCATGGCTCATTGTGCCATTGTCACTCCTTGTGGCAGGAGGCCGCATGGTCCTTGGGCCATTGCTGCTGGTCATGGCAGGATGCCGCACAGCACTGTGGGCCGTTGCTGCTTCTCATGGCAGGAGGCCACATGGTGCTTCTGACCATTGCCACTAGATGCTGCAGAAGGCTGCACAGTGCTTTGGGCCATTTGCAGGAGGCCTCATGGTGCTTCATGCCAGTGCCGTCGGTCACAGCAGGACACCGCGCAGTGCTTCGGGTCATTGCTGTTCCTCACAGCAGGAGGCCACATGGTGCTTCGGGCCGCTGCTGCTGGTCGCTGCAGGAGGCTGCGTGATGCTTCGGGCCATTTGCAGGAGGCCGCATGGTGCTTCACACCAGTGCCACTGGTCGTGGCAGGACACTGTGCGGCACGTGGTGCTATGAGGTGTCCTGCCACAACCAAAGTGCTATGATGCGTCCTGCCACAACAGGAGGCCGCATGGTGCTTCACACCAGTGCCACTGGTTGTGGCAGGACACTGTGCGGCACTTCAGGCCATCGCCATTGGTCACAGCAGGACGCCACACAGCACTTTGGGCCATTATCAGTGAAGCATCATGTGGCCTCCTGCAAATGGCCTGAAGTGCCACACAGTGCCTTGCTGTGATCAGCAGCAATGGCCCGAAATGCCATGCAGCCTCCTGCAAATGTCCCGAAGCATCCCGTGGTGTCCTGCACAACGGGCAGTAATGGGCCGAAGCACCATGTAGTGTCCTGCCGCAACCAGCAGTACTGGCATGAAGCACCATGTGGCATCCTACTGCAACTGGTGGCATTGGCGCAATGCACCACAAGGCATACGGCTGCAAGTGGCAGCAAATGGCCGCTGAAGAAGTCAAGCAGTGGCGTGACAGGTGTCGGGGCATGGGAGGCCTGGCTGCAGAAGTCCTATGGTAAAACATCCTCCCAAAATAAGACCGGGTCTTATTTTCGGGGAAACACAGTAGCAGCTGTTGACTGTGGAAGCCAGTTTAGAAGAATGATAGTTATATTGTAGAATAGCAGTCCCCAACCTCTGGGCTGCAGCCTATTCACAACCAGACTGCATGAGTGGCAGGCCGGCTTGCATGTGTGCACACATAGCTCAACTTGCATGAGCGACAGGTTGGCATGTATGCATACATGTGCAGCTCAATTTCCACGTTGAGTTGCAAACACTTGTGTGTGCATGCTGGCCCATTGATAGCTAGCCTAGTACATGGTGGGAAGGGAAAGGGGCTACCTTTAAAATAAAATATGGAATAATCATGCAGCCTTAATTTTATACAGAGAAAAAAGAAAAAAGTGTGTTTACTCACCTAGTTCTCCATTTTCTAAAACTTCAAAGGTCAGCCAAATATCTCGACTAACTGCTAAATTTCTCATCTTAAGCACTTGATTTGTCAATTCTTCTGCTCTCATTTTGGGAGAAACCTGTGGGATAATTAAGAAATAGAACTCCAATTTTCAACCAATCCATTGTACAGTGTATATATTAATACCTTTTTGTCATAAAAATCAGTGGTGCCTTAGTGACAGTTGTGAACCCCCTTTCTCTACCCAAGAGTGGCCATGGGCAGTTTACACAAAGAAACTCTATTGCTTACCTTAAGAGTAACACAATAGTCAGGATTCTTCTGCTCCAGATATACCTCCAAGATGATATCACCAGCCTGTGAGAGCTGTAGAGAGAAAAATAAGGTTAGAGCAATGAATGGTAGAGGAAAATAATGGGCAAAGACAGTATCAGAAATGCTTCAGTAGCAGCCCCTAATTTTGGAATATTCTTCCTCCCAAGATCAGGGCAGCAACATCACTATTGACATGCCAGGAATTGTGAAAACTGACGTATACCAGAAATGAATGATTGATTTAGGGATGTCACAATTATGTAGACTCTATTTATTGTATTTTTAATCTACTGAAGTATTATGGTTTGATTTTATTATATTTATTATTATTTATTTATTATATTTATTGTTATTATTTATTGTTATTTTTAAGCCAAGTAAAACTGGCAGTTGGTTTGATTACAGTGGTATATAAATACCATAAATAAATATATGATCCACTACTATTTCTTAATCATTCTTGGAGTGACTGAAACAAGAGGAGGTCTAGAATTTGCTAAACCATATATATTCCACACATATAATTGTCCATTGCTAGGGTTGGATTGTGGATGCCTATTCAGATTCGATATGAATATTTACTATCCCTGACTTAGGAAAATGTTTATTTAATTGCTGATGTGGTAGAAATAGTGGCTGAAGAAGAAGAGGTTCCCAGGGGAGTAAAAATACATTCTAGCTTGGAGCCAATTCGGGGAGGAAACATATGAGGTCAAATCCTTATCTGCCATTTCCCAAGGAAAAGTAGAAAATCTGGCGAGATTCTTGTAATATAAATGATCAGCAGTAACGTGTCTACATTCTGCCTATTCACAGAATGGTTCTGGTTTCTTGCCCCCGATAGCTGATGTTGTCAATATATCTGCTAAGCAATATACAAAAGGGATGGTAGTAAGCACTGTAGTACCTTCACATCCCGCCAGGTAGTAATCAAACTGTTCTCCAAGTCCATCTGTAGCACATGGTCTTCATCAATCTAGAGTAAAAGAAAAGCTACAGTAAAATACACATAAAACAAAAGTGTAATGATACAGGGGGATTAGACCCAGACTCACATTAAAAATATGAACATAGTTGTCAATCAAGTCTTCCATCACCTTGACTTCGTGTTCCCCTTTTCCATTCGTCTGGAAGAGACTGGGAGCAAATAGCAAAGCTAGGTTCTTGGTGTTCATGTGATTGAGACTGACACATTTCTGCACCCTACAGTGAAGAGCAAAAAGACCCAATTAAAAGCTAATTGCTGTGTCCAATGGAAGGAGGCAGTAATGAGAGGGAAAACTGCAGGGTCTGGCACACTTGTAAACAGGCGTCTAAGTATAACTATCAACAAGAAAGGATGGGGCTACATGGTGCTCTTGAATAAATAGGCTATCTATATTCATTTCAGTCTGGATTCAGAAACAATCATGGGTTGGAAACATACTTTTTTTGAGATCCGGATAAAGGAATACATTCCTTATAGTCCTTTTAGACTTCTCAGGAGTGTTTGATATCACAGTATTATTCTGCATCAACTGCAAGAGTTTGAACTTAGAGACACTCCTGCTTCAATGGTTCTGTTTAATTCTAAGTAGATGGTATCAGTAGATAACAGTGAGAAAGGCTAGGTCAGCCAGTAAGCTCACATTTGTGGGGACCCATGGAGCTCAATGCTTTTTCCCCTGCTGTTTTAACATTTACACAAAACATCTGAATGTATTAAACAATCAATTTGGATTGAGCTGATGATAGACAGCTTCATATTCTCAACATGGGGCCAAGCCAGAAAATTTTTGAACCAGTGTTTAGGGACTGTTGAGGCCTGGAAGTTGAATGCTAGCAAGATAAAGTCACTATCTATACAAATCTTTATATGCTTCAGAGATAATTCTGGAATGTTAGATTTCCTCTTGAAAGAGGAGTTAAGTGATATGGAGGTCTACAGCTCCTGATAGATAGGCAGATGAAAGCTTTGGCCAGGGGGCACTTTGTTCATCTCTGGATGTATCCTCCCTATGACAGGAGGCAAAGGAATGTTCACTCATACACTTACTACCATATGGTTGGATTACTACAATGTGAGATTGTGTTTGGTCCAAAAAGTCATAGTTTGGGCAAATGTAACTACTGTTATCATAAATTTTACAATTGCTACACTGGCCACCAGTAAATTTCAAGATACAATTCATAGTGCTGGCTTTAACTAATAAAGCCCTATAGCTTTCCTCTTCAAGTAATGGTAGCACCATCACAGTTGGCTTCTGGAAATATTTGAAACTGGAAGCACTTGGGAGTAAAACCTGTCACCATTGCATGTATTGCCATTAGATACATTGTAGATTTGATCAGGTTATTTTTCTCATAGAACGCCCAGAACAGAGTTCTGGCACCTTTTTTGGATGGAACCTTGTAGGGTAGGCAAGGTGGGTTGTATGACGTGTGTGAGTTCCCGCACCTTTTTTTTTTTTTTTAGAAAAAAAGCACTGGATTTGATTATATTAATCTGGTTGAACTTATTGCAGCAAGGGTGGGGGTGGACGAATCTTTTAGTAGCAAACATGCAGGGCTTTGGTAAACAGATTTGGGTCTTAGAAAATAAAAATGGATTTGGGAAATAGATTCAAATCTAAGGTTCAAAAGATCAAGCGTAGCAACAATGACATTATTGAAAATATAAGTAGGTTTTTTTTTTTGTATTTGCTCTTTATTGTTGTTGATTTCTTTCTTTCTGCGGAGCTCAAATTCCACAGTCTTAGTCTTTGAAACAAATATACCAGTATATCTAAGGGGCACTTAAAAAACAAACAAACAATATGCCATGAGAGTTCTGGCAAGTACAACAGACCTCTTTGCAATAGCAAATGAGCGAGAACAGACTAACCGATACAAGTGGCCAATCAAAGCAGCCAAGGTTCTGCGGTTGAGATGGGGCAAGCAGTTTATTAGCTCCTTGTATCTCTCCAGGCGCTGGGACTTCTGGGAAATTTCTAAGAAAGAAAAACAGAATTAAATGTTGGTGACTATAATTTGCATAAAATCAAAATATGTCCTACATTGATCAGAAATTTGAGTTACACTCCCCATATACTTTGTAGTTTTTCTCTTTTTGCAAGATACATTGATTTAAATGCAGAGACCAAGGGACAAATAAAATGGGTACCAGAAAACAAAGCCTCTGTGTGTGCTTTCTTTAGAGGAGGACTACAGAAGACACATACAGTTCCTGAGAATTTTCTTCTGTGTCAAATGTTAGTGATTCAGGTTACTTCTTAAGACAAAGTGTATAGTTCTATTTTTTTCTTCCTTTCCTATTTCTCTTTTGTCAGTGAGTAATCTTGCCCAGCTAATCCCCACCTTTTTATTGAAGATTTCTGCACTATACGCACTCAAGATATTTTACTTAAAGCAAGCATTGGCAGCTCTAGCCACCCTGAAACTCAATGAGCAAAGCAAGAGATCCCAACCTGAACAAGAAGACTACACCAAAATAAAACACAATAGGGAGCAACCAGCTTCTAAAAAAATGATGACTCCATATATGAACCTAAAGAAGAAAACCGATACACCCAAACTGAACACAATAGGGAACAAACAGCTTCCGTAAAAAACAAGCCTTCATATGTACCTAAAGAGTACATATGTACCCCACAGGTTGGGGACCCCTGATCTATAGAACTGAATTCCAAGCAAAAAGCACTAGATAGCAATCACATAAGGAGGAAGGGAGTAAACAGAAAAAAGAAATAAAAAAGAAAAACATAATGAAATAGAGAGTGATGGAAAGGATATAAATCCCAGTTACAAAGTAGGAAATGTAAGAAACATACCCAAGATCAATAAAGGACTCAAATGTCTATACACTAATGCTCAAGGTTTAGAGAACAAACAGGTGAACTTGAAATATTAGTACATGAAGGCAGATATGATATAGTTGTCCTTATTGAAACTTGGTGGGATGAAACTCATGACTGGAATATACTGATAAAAAAATACAATCTATTCAAAAGAAACAGACTTAACAAAAGAGGAAGTGGAGTTGCATTATATATAAAAGATCACTACATCTCTACAGAAATACACAAAACCAAGGATGAAATCCCCCTAGAATCCATATGGATCAATATAAAAGGGTGGGAAATGACATTTCTATAGGCATATACCACAGGCCACCCAACCTAGAGGAAGAAATAGATGAATTATTTGCTAATCAATTAAAAAATGAATGTAGGAACCATACCACAGTAGTAATGGGAGACTTTAACTACCCTGACATCAACTGGGAGACAAACTCTGCAGCAAATGGAATAGATTCCTAACCAACCTAGTTGACAACTTTGTCATCCAAAAGGTAGAGGAGGGAACTAGAGGAAAAACTATACTGGACCTAATTCTTACTAATAGAGAAGAAGTGATAGAGGGAGTTGAAGTTGTCAGAACATTGGGTGAAAGTGACCACGTCATACTGGAATTCAATATAATGCAAACACAAGCAATAGAACATAATCCAACCAGTGTCTTAAGCTTTAAAAGAGCTGATTTTAACAAACTCAAAGAGAGCCTAAGCAAAATGTCATGGATAAAAATCCTAAAGGGGAAAACAATTCAAGAAGCGTGGGAAGCATTGAAAAATATGATCACAAAAGCTCAGTCCAGCACAACACCACTAAAAAAGAAAACAAGAAATCCAAGAAGAAACCAGCATGGTTATACAAAGATCTCTCTGATAAACTGAAAGACAAAAAGGATAAATACAAAAAATGGAAAGAGGGACACATAACTAAGGCAGAATATCAGCAGATAGCCTGAATCTGCAAAGGTGAAGTCAGGAAAGCAAAGGCTCAGAATGAACGAAGACTTGCAACAAAAGTCAAAGATAATAGAAAAAAGTTTTTTTTTTCAATATATAAATATTGAAAAAAAGTCAATCAGTCCATTAAAGAGAGAATATGTCAAGGAAGTAACAGGCAATAGAGAGAAAGCAGAGCTGCTTAACTCATTCTTTGCATCAGTCTTCACACAAAAAGAAACTATAGCCCAACCTATCAAAAACATAACTATAAAAGACAAAATTAAAATTAAAATAAACAAGAAAATGATAAGAGAACACCTTGATGAATATAAATCACCAGGACCTGATTGATTATATCCCAGAATTCTGAAGGAGCTGGCAGATGTTAACTCAGAACCATTGTATCATATCTTTTAAAAAATCATGGCGCACTCTGGAACTACCAGAGGATTGGAACAGAGCTGATGTAGTTCCCATCTTCAAAAAAGGAGAGAGAAAAAATCAGACCCAGGAAACTACAGACCAATCAGCTTAACATTAATACCTGGGAAGATACTGGAAAAAATAATCAAAAAAGAGATCTATGAACATCTAGAAACAAATAAAGTTATAAGTAGAAGCCAGACTAGAAGTCATAACTAGATTTTTTTTTGTTAAAAACAGAGCATAACAAACCAATCTTATTTCACTTTTTGACAAAGTGACTAAATTAGTAGACCAGCAAAATGCTGTGGACATAGCATATTTAGACTTCAACAAGGCATTTGACAAAGTAGACCACAACCTACTTCTTGGTAAGCCAGAAAAATGTGGGATAGACAGCATCACCACCAGATGGATTTGTAACTGGCTGACAAATCGTACTCTATGAGTAGTCCTTAATAGTGCTACATTTACATGGAGGGAAGTAAGCAGTGGGGTACCACAAGGTTCTGTCTTAGGCCCAGTACTCTTCAATATCTTTATAAATGACTTAGATCAGGGCTTTTCAACCTTTTCACTCTTTGTATCCGGATATTTTTAGGATATGGCAATATCTGAGTACCACCAGTCGCCTAGCAAGGTGTCAAAAATGTGATGACCCCCCCCCCAAAAAAGGAAAAAAGTGATAAAGTACAGGTAGTCCTCGACTTAGAACAATTCACTTAGTGACTATTCAAAGTTACAACAGCACTAAAAAAAAGTGACTTATGGCCATATTTCACACATGATTGTTGCAGCATCCCCAGGGTCATATGATTTATATTCAGATGCTTGGCAACTGATTCATACTTATGATGTTCATAGTGTCCCAGTGTCATGTGATCACCTATTGCAATGTTTTGTCAAGCGAAGTCAATGGCCAGGGGGGCATGGCCAGCTCAACATTACTCAGGTCACGGGACGCCTGTAGGGGGTACAGACAGGGCTGTGGGGGGATCCATGGGTCTCTGGTGGAGGAGGTGGGACTGGGGTGGGTGCCTTCCCTCCCTCCCTCCCTCCCTCCCATTGTCCCTTCCTCCCATTGTTCCTTCCTTCCTTCCCTCCCTTCCTCCCTCTCATTGTCCCTTCCTTCCCTCCCTCTTTGTCCCTTCCTTCCCTCCCTCCCTCCCATTGTCTCTTCTTCCCTCCCTCCCTCCCTCCATGTCCAGGAAGGGACAAGGGGAGGGCGACAGGCTGCCATCGTGGCTGGTGGCTGTGCTGCTGGTGCCATGGCTTGAAAGGCCACTGTAAATTGCTGGACAAGAGCTGCACAGTGTTAAGAGCAGAGTGGTGGGAAGATATTTGTAATGAGGGAGGGAGAAAAACAGGCATCCCCCGAAGGAGATCAGCAAATGGCTCTCGCCCACTTCACACACCCGTGGACTCTGGGGGAGGGGACACGCAAGCGGCATGAGAGTCCATGTTACCTGCGCTACGCCGCCCAGACCCCAGCCTGATTTTGGCAGGCAGCGGTGTGCTCTCCTCACCATGTGGAGGGGCTGGGCCAAGCAAGGCAAACTGGCAACATGCCGAACCTGCCAGGGTGTGCGCAGAGGCTGTGGTGAACACATGCACCTGGTGTCTGGTGTCTCGGGTGACTGTTTTGCCATGTAGGCTAACCACATTCTGAGTGCTTCCCTTTCACCTGGGATGCCAGGCACCAAGCACATGCGCTCTCCACCACCTCTGCACACATCTAGGCAGGTTCAGCTTGTCGCCAGTTTGCCTCATCCAGTCCAGCCCAGCCTCTCTGCATGGTGAGGAGAATGCACTGCTGCCTGCCAAAATTGGGCAGGCTGGTCGGGGGGGCTAGGTGGCGTAGCACAGGTAACGTGGACTCTCATGCCACAACCCTTCCCCAGCTGTATTTCTTACCTGTTTGTCACTGCTACCTGTGTGCGTGCCTGGCCTGTTCTTTGTCCTCTCCTCTGTCGCCCCTCCTCCTCCTCCTTTTCCCTTCAGTGCAGCTCCAGCTGACTCTTCCTCCTCCCAAGGCTGCATCTTTTTTTCTCTCCCTCTCCCACCCAAACTGCCTCCTTTTATATCCCTTCCTGTCTCCGCCCCACTCTTCTTCCTCCTTTCTCTTCCAGGTGTGCTGGAAATGCAGATCCTGGGGCTTTTGCTTTGCCCCAGCAGCCCTGCAGCTCCTGAAGACTCTCTCAGGGCAAGTCTTGTGCTGCGCCACTTTGGCTCATTCTTTCCCCACTACCCTTGACTGGGCTAGGCAGGGCCACATACCACCTGCCACATACTAATGTACCACAGGTGGTATGTGTACCACCAGTTGAAAATCCCTGAACTAGATGAGGGAATAAAAGGGGAACTCATAAAATTTGCAGATAACACTAAGCTGGCAGAATAGCCAACACACCAGAAGACTAGCTCAGGATTCAAAAAGATCTTGACAGATTTAAACAAAGGGTCCTATTAAAAATGATATTTAATTTGGAGAAAAGCAAGGTTTTACTTCTGGGCAGGAAAAACCAAAAGTACAAGTACAGATTAGGCAAAACCTGGCTCACAAACATTAATGATGAGAAGGACCTTAGAATCCTAATGGACGATCCCTTAAACATAAGTCAGTAGTGTGCGGCACAGTCAAAAACACTATTACAATTCTTGTGTCAACGCTGCTAATTTTGAATATTCTCGCTTTGACAAAATATGCAGAACTGTCTGGCACTTTTAGAGTTAACTCAGATGAGAATGGAGAGAGAGAGAGCAATTCGAGCAGGCTTCAGAAGGAAGTGAACCTTTGCCCCCCAGACTGGTTGGGGAACGTGACTCATGACAGCAAAAGAGGGAGGGAAAATACTAGCAAAAATAACTGCTCTAAGGTGGAGACTTCAGATCTTGGCATCTTGGTTGTATAAAAAGAGGCACAGAATCAAAATCATGTGAAGTATTAGTAAGGCCACATCTGGAATACTGCATCTAGTTTTGGTCACCATATTATAAAAAAGAAGTTGAGACTTGAAAAAGTGCAAAGAAGAGCAACTAAGATGATTAAAGTCCTGGAGACTAAAACATACGAAGAACGGTTGCAGGATTTGGGAATGGCCAGTCTAGAGAAAAGAAGGACTGGGGGAACATGATAGCAGTATTCCAGTATTTGAGGGGCTGCCACAAGGAGGAGGGGGTCAACTTATTTTCTAAAGCACCAGAAGGCAAGACAAGAAACAACGGATGGAAACTAATCAAGGAGAGAAGCAACCTGAAATTAAGGACAAACTTCCTAACAGTGAGGACTATTAATTAACCAGTAGAACATCTTGCCTTCAGACGTGGGTGTTTAATCACTGGAGGTTTTTAAGAAAACACTGGACAGTCACTTGTTTGAAATGGTATAGGATCTCCTGCTTGAGCAAGGGGCTGGACTAGAAGACCTCCAAGGTCCCTACCAGCTCTATTCTGATTCTGGTATCCCACTCATGCTTCCCTCCATGTAGATGTAATTGCATTGAGGACTAGGTATATGCAGAATGGAGTTGGTCAGCCAGTTGAGAATCCATCTGGTGTGGCACTGTCTATCTCATATTCTATCTTACCAAGAAATAGGATGTGGTCTATTTTGTCAAATGCCTCCTGAAGACTAAATAAACACAGTAAACACTTTTTGACACTTGTCAAAAAAGACGATCAGGTTTGTCTGGCATTATTTGTTTTTGACAAATCTGGGTTGACTTCTAGTAAATGTCTGTTCATTTCTAGGTGCTCACAAATATGCTACTTGTTTATTTTTTCCAGGATCTTCCAGGATTGATGTCAGGCTGATTAGTCCTGATTCAACTTTCCCACCCCCTTTTTGTAGATTGGAACCAAGGGATCAGTCTGGAATCCAGACAGAGAGGAAATCCGCAGTCATAGCTTTAGTAGTTGAGATAGAGTTTTAATCCTCAGAAGGCCTATGATTAATCTTCTCCCCATTTTCTCACTTTCTAGAGAAACTGAAAATATCAGCCTCCTGATATTCCCTGATATTCCCCTCCTATGGGAATTTTAAAGGGTGGCATTGGTGTCTAAAACTTTTCCAAAAGTTCAGGAAATTTATGCAAACCGTAATAGGCATTTCTGCCATTGAATTTCAGTGATATCATCTAGGATGGTCTGGAGGATTTCTAGGGAAGATTCTGGATGGATTGCATGCACACTGCAAGGCATAGCTGCCCTCCCCTGTTTTGAAATATAGATAAAAATATGTTTAAAAATAGTTTTCCCAGGATTTACAATGATGATGGGAGATGGGCATTTCAAAAATGTGAAAAATAAATGATAAATTGTATAACTTTGGAGGGCTCAAGACAAAGATCCAAGAGTATGGCAGCTTCTCAATGAACTAAATAATACAACCAATCAAAAGGTGGTCTGCTGTCATAGAGACCCAAGTGGCTTGTTAAAGTAGGGCAGTGTAAGAAAGAAGGATGAAACCTGCAGCCTCATTCCACTGGGGATGAAAATGTGTAGTGAAGATAGTATCCTCGAGCTCCCGGAAGAATCTCTTCAACACATCTGTCACATCTTCAACAAAATTGTTGCTGATATGCAATTTGACATTTCTTGCATCTCGTCGAAACTCTTCCATCAAAATTTTGATACGAGATTTTGCTCCATTCTTCCGATAAATACCTTCATGCTGTAATCCTGATGAAGAAGGAAGGGAAACAGGCGTTATAATAATATGAAATGTATATAGAGATTCTCAGTCATCCAGGTAACGGTTGTCCCAAAAGTGCTTTTTCAAAAGGCAACTGGACTTTGTTTGTTTGTTTGTTTTTTGAGCTGAAGAAGCTTCTTGGTTGAGAAGCGAAACATCTTCAAAGAAAAAAACAAAATCTAGTTACCTTTTGAAAAAGCAATTTTGGGACAATATGAAATGTAATATTTAATATTTAATGTTAATATACATATAATATCTTAATCCTCAGCAGTGTAAAAAAAAAAGAAACAAACATGGAACAGCTACTTCACCAATCCAAGCAATGCTGCTATCTGCAGTGGCTTGCTTTCCTACTGGCTACTCTACAGGCATTGGTCAGAGGGGGAGGTCTACCTCTCCTCTTCTTTCCTGAGAAGGAGATGGCTGGCCAGCAATTACTGTGTAAATGGCACTTAGAGCAGTTAAACTGAAAAACAGAATTGTTTGTGATGTTATAAGCCAGAGTTTTGCAACCATTCCAACTTTGCAGACCAGCGAGGGGGGGGGGAGCAGGCAAGGAATGGTTTCGCATGAATGGCTGGCAAGCTTGCATGTAGCTCATTTGTGTCCTGTTTACATAAATGGAGTGCGTGCGCACACGTTCACCCATTGCTCATGCAAGTGGGGATGTGCACGCGCACACACACTTGCCCACTGCATCCATGGCCTGGTTCCAAACAGCTCATAGCCTGGTAGTGGTCCAGGGGTTGAAGACCCCTGTTCTAAGCCACCTAGAGCAGTGGTGGCGAACCTTTTATAGACCGAGTGCCCAAACTGCAAACCAAAACTCACTAACGTATCCCCAAGTGCTGGGTAGGCGTGGCCCACTGGATGGGCGTGGCTACAGCAGTCATGGCAGACAGGGTGGGCGTGGCCACCTTGATGTTGCTCCTGGAGATGGATGCCTATGGGGGCCGGGCTGGATTGGGGGAGATCCAGCGGGTCCCTGGTAGGTAGGGTGGTGCGCAGGAGGCTCATCCTGCAGGGTGAGGTGAGGTGTAAGAGGGGCAGGGTGGGGATTAGGGTTAGGACGCTGCTGCTTTCCCCCCAGGATGGAGCGCCCTGCTGCGGTCTAGCGACAGCAGCAAAGCTTGTCCTCCCCACTCAAGTGGCCAGCAGCGGCTCCTGGGCTCCATCCAAGTTGAAGAAAGCGAAGGCGCAACAGCGGGATTGCTCTCAATAAGGCGGGTGCACACAAGCGAGCAACGCACCCGGCTCTTATTGTTTGAGAGTAATCCTCCTGCTGTGCCTCTGCTTTCAATTTGGATGAAGCTGAGGTACCCAAGCTGCTGCACTGCCTGCCTCCCTCTCCCCCTGCCCCCTGTGCCTCAGGTCGGCGCAACCAGCAGTTTGCTCAGGTCCATTAGGCTGCCACTGCCGAGGAGAAGAATGGTGAGGTTTTGAGCCAGCCGGCCAGGCAGGCAAGAAGTAAGTCAGGGGATGGTGGCTGGCTGGCTGGGGAGGAGGAATAATGGCTGCTTGGGGGGGGGGATTTGCCAAGCCTCAGGGCACTGGCATTGGCTGCTCCCCCCACCCAGCCCATTTCCCCGGCTCCATTACCAGCAGCAGCTCCCTCAGTGACTGCCCCATGGCCCTCACCGTCAAGTTTCCATTACACAAGCTTCCTGGAGCTAAGGAGTTACTGAGTCGCCAGGCGGGTCTGGTGGGGGGCGTTGCCTTCCGCTTTTCCTGCTGTGGCATTGGCTGCTGGTGTTGCCCTCCTGAGAGGAGGGCATGGTGATTGGTTGGTGGCCACGCCATAAATGGGGATTGATCTTCCCCCAAACCCCACCACTGTCAAAGGAGCAGGAGGAATGGGGAGAAAAAAGGGAAACTGGCCAAACTGGCCAGGCACTGAAGCCCCGCTGAAAAAAGTGGAGCCTCTTTGCGAGCCTGCTTAGCCTGCATCAGCCTTGCTCTCCACAGTGCACTGCAGCTGATCTGAAGCATGGAGAGCACGGCTGATGGGTGAGCGCATAGCAGAGCTGCATAGATTCTGCTGTTTTCAATGGTGCTTTTGATCAGCTGCAGCAACCCTAACCCCATCGCTGTCAAAGGAAAAAAGCAGAGTCTGTGTGCGCTCCTGCCTTGCCCGTATCAACCAGCTGCAGCATGCCATGGAGAGCCTGATTGCAGCTGATCAGAAGCGAGGGAAATGCCAGCGGCAGCAAGCAATCCATGCAGAGGGTGGGGGGGGGGGAAAGCTGGCAGCAGCGAGGCAATCCATGCGGGGAGGGAAACGCCAGCTGCAGCAAGTGATCTGTGCAGGGGGTGGGAGGGAAACATTGGCGGCAGCAAGCAATCCGTGCAGGGGGTGGGGGGAAATGCCGGCAGCAGCGAGGCAATCCGTATGGGGAGGGAAATGCTGGAGGTAGTAGCGATTTGTGCAGGGGATGGGGGAAAATGCCAGCAGCAGCTAGGCAATCTGTATGGGGAGGGAAATGCTAGTGGCAGCAAGCGATCCGTGCGGGGGGGGGGAAAGCTGGCAGCAGTAAAGCAATCTGTACAGGGAGGGAAATGCTGGTGGAAGCAAGTGATCTGTGCAGGGGGTGGGAGGGAAAATGCCAGCAGCAAGTGATCTGTGCAATGGGGGGGGGGGGAAACGCCGGCGGCAGCAAGCAATCTGTGTGGTGGCCAGCAGAAGGGAGATCGTGGCAAGAGCGATCTTTTTCTCCATTCCCTCCCTGGCCCTTGAGCTCAACACCTCTTTCTTTGCACGGTGAGTGAAAGCGCTGGCGCACGTGGAGAGGGGGAGGGGAGCAGCCCGGCCTCACCTCCCTCTGGGGCGATGGCGCGTGTGCCCACATGGATGGCTCTGCGTGTCACCTGTGGCACGCGTGCTATATGTTCGCCACCACTGGTCTAGCTCAGTCAAACTGACTTAATCATAATAATAGGGGACTTTAACTATCTTGATATCAACTGGAAGACAAACTTTGCATCAAGTGCAGATCAAACAGGTTCCTGACAAACCTAGCAGACAATTTTGTCTCTAAAAGGTGTAGAAGGAACTAGAAGGTCAACTATACTGGACCTAATTCTCACTAAGAGAGAAGAAATGATAGAGGGGGTTGAAGTTGCAGGAATTTTGGGGGAGTTCCTTACTGAATTAATGAAACCTGAAGCTTAGGTATGATACACAAGCCCATCATTGGACCTAGAACCTTGTGGTACCCCACTGCTTACTTCCCCCCATATAGAAATGGATTTTCAAAATGGATTTTGAAATTGACTGAATTAGCAGATATGGTGAAATTAGCTGCTTTGATTAGAGATAATGAACTAGACAGATTTATAAGAGATTGGAAACTGTTTGTGGACTTTCTACACGCTAAATATAATAACAAATGGTTAACAGAGGAATTTGAAGATTAGTGTGATATTTAGTTTAACCTGTTGACTGCTTTTTCTTCTTTCTTCTTTTACAAATATATATAGGGGAAGAGAATTTACTGCTTTTTCTTCTTTTTTTTCAGTGACCAGCCAGGGTGGATCCTATATGTTAAATGTTAAATTTATTTAATCAACTTTTTCTCTTTTTTGTATACTATTTTTTTTGTTAATGTTAGTATTGAATGCATGCTTTTGTTTTGTTTAATTTTGTTTGTTTTTCTGTTTTGCATTTTACTTTTTATGATGAAACAATAAATAATAAAAAAGAAGAAATGATAGAAGGGGTTGAAGTGACCGATATTGGAATTCAATGTAGTGTAGGTACAAACAACAAAGTCAAAGTAATATCTTAGACTTTAAGAGATCTGATTTCAACAGACTTAGAGAGAACTTGGGAAGGTTCCATGGATAAAAATCTTTAAGTGGAAAACAACTCAAGAAGCTTGGGAAAGTCTGAAAAATGAGATTATAAATCCCAGTCTACCACTGGAAAAAAAAAACAGATCTCAAAAGAAACCAGCATAGTTGGTTAAAGAAAAGAAAAAGAAAGAAAGAAAGAAAGAAAAAAAGGATAAGTATAAAAAAAATAGAAAGAGGACATATAATTAAAGCAGAATACCAACATATAGCCCAAATCTGCAAATATGAAGTCAGGAAAGTTAAGGCCCAGAATGAAATAAAACCTCTGACAAATGTCAAAAATAATTTTTAAAAAGTTTCTTTCAATATGGAAAAAAACAAGAAAAAAATAAAAAAAAACAATTGGTCCATTAATGGGAAAAAGTGGCAAGGGGGTGTAGGGCAGCAGAGAGAAAGCAGAACTTCTTAATTCACATTTTAAGACTTTAGAAGGTCTGCATTGAAGAGCAACTATGGGAAGAAAGCCCCCCTCCTCGAGAAAGAAATATTTTTGGAAATATTTAAGAGGCAGAAAAGCATGCCCAGTTTTTTCTTAATATCCCCAAGTCTCCCTCCCCCCAAGCAGAAACCAGCTGTGTAGAAATGCAGATGTAAACCATTCAGGAAGGTTGAAGCTAGAAGATTAAGAAGACAAAGACACCTAAAATCTACATACCCCACCCAAACTCTAAGACAGGACATAATAGGATTAACCTACAGATGCCAAAGGGGCACACTCAGACTCAGGTCAAAAGTACATGACACAGGAAATACAAAGCCTCAAACAGGAACAGGAAACAATCTCAAGAGCCCCAGAGGGTATAAAAAACCCACTCCCTACATGTGCTCTCTCTCTTTTCTTCCAGAGCCATCTTTCTGTCTGGCTCTCTTCTTCAATAAACTGCAATCTTCTTTCTAAAGCAGTCGCCATGTTGTTTATTCCTGGCTTGGACTGAACCATGATGAAGACTTTTCCTTCAACACAACAAAGATGATTAGGGACTGGAGGCCAAACTGATGAACAGTTGTGGAAACTAAAAACAAGGAAAAAGTCAGGAAAATGAGCGGTCCACTACTAGGAGAAGATGGCAAGGAGGTGATGGGTAAGTAGGGAGAAAGTGGAACTGCTATGGCTGGAAGGGCAAACTAAAAAAGAACATCTGAAGGTGCTGAGGATGATTCACCTGAAGAAGACTATGTTCGCACATGATAGCAATCTTCAAAAACGTAAAAGCCATTGTTCACATTTGTTTCCAGAAGATAGAAGAAGCAGATAAAGAAATAGATTTCAGTGGAACATCAGGAAAAAAAATCCAAATGATAAGAGCCATTTAACAATAGAACCAACTATTCAGAGGTGGTTGACTTCCTCAATGGCATTTAAATAGCTGCTAAATGGCCATCTGTCAAGGATACTGAAATAGTGGATTCCTATCCCCCACAAAAGATTGGACTAAATGATCTCCAAGGTCACTTCCAGTTCTTGCATTCTGTTGTTCTGTCAGTTTATTTGAAATGGCTAGTCAAGAAACTGGCTCAGTTTTCCAAACACTGATAAAGAATTACTATAGAAAAGCTATTAAGCTATTACAAAAGAACGCTAGCAACTGTTGTATATCAAATACAAGCCCTATGTATAGTGAAATCAAGGTTCACATTCTTATGCTTTATTTTCTTGCCCATGCAGGGTAATAGACTTAAAGCCACTCTTTTTCAGGCAAGAAGGATGGTTTGGTTTACTCTGATCACAATATAGTATACATTATTTTTGGTTGATTGAAGGAACCTCTGAGTAACTTACCATATTGGGTGATAAATGAAATACAACTGCTCACAATAATGGGAATGCCATTCTTGTTGAGCTGCTGGTCTTGCAAGGCATTCCCTTGACTTCCTGCTGAACTCTGAATAGCTGTGCACCATGAAGAAAAGTCTAGCTGTGACGTCCCTTGAAGACAGAATGTCCTAAAAAGGAAGCATGAATAAATTTTGATTACAGCAATCAGAAATCAGGTGCTTCTTTTTATTTCCTGGAGTATGTCCTCTCCTTTCCCAAGTATTCCACTATCTTGTCGTAGTCAACACTATTTGCTCCCTGTGATTCCCAGAAATCATTCCACCGCAATAATCAGTATGTCTCTAATATGGCCTTCTGTAACAGTATGTTGCTGCCCAACCCTGCATACATTTTATTCTCTAAAGTCATATCTGTTTTACATAATGAACAAACCCGCATAGAGCTTTCAGTTACATTAACAGGTCACATACTATCTGTTAAAGTAATTGAAAGCACTATGCAGGTTCATACATTATGTAAAAACAGATAAATTGTTGGAAGTGATGTAAAGCCTGTGCAGGCAAGACATAATATAATATTCTTATCACTCTGCTGTGAGAGAATAAGGAAAGATGGGCCATATATACTATTCTGATAGGTTTTAAATAGCCTACTTCATTCTTTTTGCTGGAGAGTGAGATCACTTCCAAACTAACTTATAGAAGGTCTCCAGACAAAGAACAACAAGAAGAAAAAGTGTCCTTATAGAAATGGAAACTTCTTGTTGCCTTATACCACCAAAGCTTTATTTTCTAAGCTATCAAGGAAATTTGCCACAGATGCTGGCCCTGTCTTCTGCTATACTCTAGCCCAGGGGTAGGCTGGCTCAGGAATTCTGGGAGTTGAAGTCCACGAGTCATAAAAGAGTCAAGGTTGTCTACCCCTGCTCTAGCCCCATGTGATTGGCAAGAACAAAAATAGGCAACAGGGTCTTCACATACAACAATATGCCCCTAGACACCTCCCTGTCTATAGCAAGTTCTTTCCCTTAAAAAATTATTGATTCTATTAAATATGAATAGAAAATTGGCATGCTGCAAAACCAAACATTACTCTCCAGTATGTGTATTTGTGTGTGTGTTTATGTATAAAAATTCCCTTCTTATAATATGGATGGCATGTGTCTTTTGCAATCTCAGGTCCTCTACCGGAGGTCTGGAAATTTAAGGGTTCTGTGCAGCATCTTATCTGCCCCTAGCATTGCACTCTTCTGGAAACAGAGCTCTGATGTTGTTCCTGGGACTTGTTGAAGCCCCTTTTCCAGTTTTCCAAATTGGGCTTGGTGCTGTGAAGAGGACTTTGGATTTCTAGACCACAGTCTGCATTACCTACAAGAAGAACTTCTGGCAAGGGATGGGCTACACCTCACAAGAACCAGAAAGAGTGTGTTTGGAAAACACATCTGAAGAGCTTTAAACTAAAACTAAGAGGGGAGGGTGACCAATCTTTAGCATCTTTAGAACCTAATCCCAAGCATAAATCCCAACACAAACAAACAAACAAACAAACAAGGAGATAGAAAGTGAAGGGAAGGAAGAAAAACTCAGATACAAACTAGGAGATCTAGGAAGCATAGCTACAGTCAGCCATAAAGGACTCAGATGCTAATGCTGAACAATTAGGGAACCAACAAAACAGAACAGTACTACCAGTAGTACCTGAAGGCAAGTATGATATAGTCGTCATTACTGAAACTTGATAGGATGAAACTCATGACTGGAATGTTCTGATGGAAGGATATAAACTGTTCAAAAGAAACAGACCTAACAAAAAAGGAGATGGGGTTGCATTATATGCAGTGCTTTTTTTGTAAAAAAAAAAAAAAAAAAAGTGCTGGAATTCACACATGTCAAACAACCTGCCTTGCCTACCCTACAAGGTTCCATCCAAAAAAGGTGCCGGAACTCCGTTCTGGGCGATCTATGACAATAAAAGCCCTGATTATATGTAAGAGATCACAACATCTCTACAGAAATGCATAAAACCAAGGATGAAAGCCTCCTTGAATGCACTTAGGGAAGAAAAACCAAATGTACAGGTACAGATATTGGCACAATAATAGTAACTGGAGAGGGATCTTGGAATCCTAGTGGACAATCAATTAAATATGAGCCAGAAGTGTGCTACAGCCTCCATAAAAGCCAATGCTATCTTAGGCTGCATTAACAGAGGGATAGAATCAAGATAACGTGAACTGTTAGTACTGCTTTATAATGCTTTGGTAAGACCAAATGTGGAATATGGCATCCAGTTTTGGTCACCACAATATAAAAAAGATGTTGAGACTTTGGAAAGTGTGCAGAGAAGAGCAAAAAATTGGGGTCATGGAGGCTAAAACATGAAGAATGATTGCAGGAATTGGGATTGTCTAGTCTAGTGAAAAGAAAGACTAGGGGCAACATGATAGCAGCATTCCAATATTTTAAAGGCTACCACAAAGAAGAAGGGGGCATCCTATTTTCCAAAGCACCAGAAGGCAAGACAAGAAGCAATTATTGAAAGAAAAATCATCATCATGGTTCATTCCAAGCTGGGAATAAACAAAATGGGACTGCTTAGGAAAGAAGGTTCTGTTTATTGAGTTGCCAGAAACTTCAGTGACACAGCATCACCTTGGTATATGACACACTTAATGACCACTTATATGAGCTGTCTTGAGTTGACTTCCAATATTCCATAGACCTATTGAGTTCTTGAGGAAGATCTTTAGTATCCTGTTGACTTATTATAGTGCCAGGAATTCACAGATCCATGTAACTGGTCTCAAGAGTTGATTGTAGCTAGTTTATCCATGATCTTATGCCGCATATCAGCTGCTGTGCCCTGAAATGGAGAGGTTGGCAGTGATGATCCAGCTTCAAATGCACATCCAATTCTTCTTCCAGATCTTCTTGAATCTGGCATGTAATGTGTAGTTGGTCTATCTCAAGTTGTGAGAGGAACTTATTTTTCACTATGCTGAAGTGTTTGGTAATTAACTATTTCATATTTAGTGTGGATGAAGGTCTTCTGTCCATCCATAGTTCCTGTCCATACATTTCATATATTCTCTCTCATTAGGTGTACTGTTGCAGTAGCATTCCATCAATTCCAGATTTTTGTCTCGTCCATGTATGGTTTTCTCCAGTAATCTACTTACTGCCAGATTATCCTTGTTCCCCAACATCTGACATGGACCGTGTTAATCTGGGCAACAGCTGAACTGGAATGATTCTCCTAGCTCAGGGGTGTCAAACTGCCGGCCCACAGGCCAGATGCATCACAGCAATGGCAAAAAAGTCGCAATACATTGCGACATGTCATGTGATGTTGCGAGTTTTACACCCCTGTCATAGCTCATGTCACTTTCATATTTGAAGTAGGCAGGTGAAACATTAAGGGGTCATTTCCCAAGGACCCCTATTTGTAAGATAGGTAACATCTGGGATTTGAATCCTGGTTTCCCACTCAAAGGCAGTGGTCTAACCATTATAATATCCAGTCACTCAAACCAAATACCCTCTAGTGAGTATATGTTTGTGTGTGTGTGTACATTTGACTCATTAAAGATCTTACTGGAAAATACAGCATCCTAAAAGCTTATCTCACTCTTGTTATACTGTTTTGTGACTGATTATGCCTTTTATAGTAGCCATTTTGTGAGCAAATTTACATTGCAGCCATGTCCACACTCTTAAAATTCTGAACATGCTGTCTACCAAGAAACATCTTTCTTGACTAAGAAAATGATACCTTAACTACCAGTTCAGAAAAATCAGATGATAGGTACCAAGCAAATTATACAAAATTCTATGATTTTTCTGGAGACTTCCCATCATGATTTTGATTATGTGCCACCAAGCTCATGGAAATATCAGAAGTGTCTATATTAAATGTTCCAGTAACAGGAAGAAAAATAGCTCAAATGGTCACAAAGAAGAGGTGAGATCCCCAAAGAAAACAAGCATGTGGTGGTGATTGATGACTCAGAAGAACAGAATAAGCAATTTGTAGACCAGACAACCTATATTGAGAGAGGTATGTTATCTCCCAGGTGCAAAGATCAAAGATATGAAAGAGAGGTTTACCCTTTCTCCTCTTTCATATTGGGATGAATAATACAACAAAGTGCCTGAAAAAATTATCAAGGGACTATGAGAAACTAGGCAGGATGGCAAAAGTTTTAGGAACATGGGTGGTGTTTTCGTCAGTAATTCTGACAGAAAATCAATGCCCAATAAGGAAACGGAGGTTTTCAAAAGTAAACAGCTGGCTCAAGGGATGGTGCAATTGAAAGAACTTTGGATTTCTGGACCATGGTTTACATTACATACAAGAAGGACTTCTGACAAGTGATGGGCTTCACCTCCTAAGAACAGGGAAGAATGTATTTGATAAATATAGCTTTACACATCCAAAGGACTTTAAATTAAAATTGGAGAGGCAAGCTAAATTTTTATGATAATTCTTAGAAAACAAATTATACAATGAGGAAGGGAGCAGTAGCAATAAAGAGGCACTCAGATATAAAACAAGAAGAGACACAAGAAGCAAACTCAAGGTCAGCCATGCCCGTACACTAATGTATGGACCAAACAGGGAGAATTTGAAGTCCTAATACATGAGGGCAGGTATGATATTGTTGACATTACTGAAACTTGGTGGATGGAACCCATGACTGGACAATCAATAACATATAAGTTATTCAAAAGAAACGGACTCAGCAAAAGAGGAGTTGCATTATAGCAGTAGCCAGTGCTTTTTTTTGTAAAAAAAAAAAAAAAGGTGCCGGAACTCACACGTCATACAACCTGCCTTGCCTACCCTATAAGGTTCCATCCAAAAAAGGTGCTGGAACTCCGTTCTGGGTGTTCTATGACAAAAAAAGCCCTGTCAATAGCATTTATTACTTTACAGCACTCTCTGAATGGTTTACAATGTCAGCATATTGGCCCCAACAATCAGTCCTCAACTTACAACAGTTCATTTAGTGACTGTTCAATGGAATTGAAAAAAGTGACTTATGACCATTTTTCATACTTATGATTGTTGCAGTATCCCCATGGTCACATGATTTACATTTGGATGCTTGACAACTGGTTCATATTTATGATGGATGCAGTGTCCTGGGGTCATGTGATCACCCTTTGCAACCTTCTGTCAACAAAGTCAATGGAGAAGCCAGATTCACTTAACAACTGTGTTACTAACTTAACAATGCAGTGATTCATTTAACAAATGTGGCAAGAAAAGTAATAAAATGGAACAAATAAACAAATTTAACAAATTTCTCACTTAGCAATATAAATTTTGTGCTCAATTGTGGTTGTATGTCGAGGACTACCTGTACCAAGGATGAAAATATTCTTGAAAGTATTTCAATGAATATTTGAGGGAAAAATGATATTGCTATAGGTATGTAGTACAGACCACCCAACTAAGCAAGGATATAGATTATATCCTATAGATTTGCTAATCAGTCAGCTGAGGTGTGCAGGAAAGATATCACTGTGATAATGGGGGACTTTAACTACCCTGACATCAACTGGGAGACAAACTCTGCATCAAGTATATATCAACCTAATGGCAGCAAGGTATGAAGGTCATCCAAGCTGCCTGCTAAACAGGCAAGTTGGAGCAATATAGGAAGGTCCTGAAGATGTATTATCACTTTAGCAAAGGCATAGTTTAATACTGTGTGTAGTAAACTAATATCACTCCTGATAGAATAGAAAAATCTTTGCTGCTCTTCTCTGCACTTTTTCCAAGGCATCAGCATCTTTTTTGAACCATAGTAACCAGAACTGGAAACAGTATTCCAAGTGTGACCTCACTAGTGCAGTATAAAGTGACTGTCAGATCCCCTCAAACCTCATTCTTGGGGTTCTGCCATTCTGTTGGGAGGGGGGAGGTTGCACGCTGTTGGGAGGGGGAAAGTCCTGTGGGCTCCAGGATGTATTTCCTTTATTTTGTTCTTTTCACCTTTGATGTATCCTTCTGGGTGTGTGTGTGGGGGGGGGGGGAGGAATGTGCCTGGAGCCATCTGCCTTATCTCTACTCCACTGGAAGAGACCGAGAAGAAACTGAAATACCTGAGAACCACACCTCATTGCCCCGGGTCCCATAATAACCTGTGGATTGGCTGAAGTCAAACTGGACAGTTGGGCACTGGGGAGGGGTTTGAAAGGGGAGTTTTAATGTAATGTTTTGCACGGGAATTATTTAGATCTTGCCTTGTCTTTCTGCTTTCACTGTCAATAAAAGTTGATTGAAACAATGCCTGTTTCAAGAGTTCTGCTTTCTTGGGAGCACTAGCTGAGGCAGGACCTTAGAAGCACGAAGCCGAAAACACCAGCCTGAAGATGATGAATGGGACTTCATCGAAACGTCGCCAAGACACTTCCAATTTTACGCAGGAGAAAACTCGAATAACCAAAGACCTACATACAAACACCCGCGAAAACCTCAGAAAACACACACACACACACACACACACACACACATATGTATGTATATGTGTGTGTGTGTGTGTATGTGTGTATGTGTGTGTATATATATATATATATATATATATATATATATATATATATATATATATATATATATGTAGGTCTTTGGTTGTTCGGGTTTTCTCCCGCGTAAAATTGGAAGTGTCATGGTGACGTTTCGACGAAGTCCCATTCGTCATCTTCAGGCTGGTGTTTTCAGCTTCGTGCTTCGAGGAGCAATGTGTGGTCTTAGCTTTTTCTTCCTTTTAACTGCCAGTGGGGGTAAGATGACGAATGGGACTTCGTCGAAACGTCGCCAAGACACTTTCAATTTTACGCGGGAGAAAACCCGAACAACCAAAGACCTACATACAAACACCCGCGAAAACCTCAGATATATATATATATATATATATATATATATATATATATATATATATATATATATATATATATATATATATATATTTCATTACACCATATGAAATAATGTCTTTGCTGTTGTTGCTAAAATGATAATCCATCTTCAGGATCTTCCTATATTGTTCCAGCTTACCTGTTTAGCTAGCAGCTTCATGACCTTCATACCTTGCTGCCATTAGAATGGTATATACTTTCAGCATTCTTTTGTCATTATCACCTGCCATGATGAGACAACATCACAGATTGGAGGGGACTTGCCATCCTAATGACTAACAAATCTTTAAACTTTTGTTACTGCTACAATCAGGTAGTTTTTAAGTGCTGGATTTGTAGAGAGATCAAAATTCCATAGCTTAGGAAATGCTGTATCTTATGGAATTGTAGGATAATCAATGGAGTTATATTAAATTCCAATGGAACTTAAGAATGCAAAAAAGGTGCCGGTTTATTTATTTAAAGACCCTCCTGCTTACATAACTCACCTGCCCATTTCTACCAGGATCAGCATCTGCTTTTTCTCTGGACCCTCGGCAAAAGGAACAATACCTTTGGTAGGAAGCAGTACATGAAAAAAAGAAGGAAATACAGGAATGTGTGAAGCATCCATTTTTAGCCAAGTCAAAACTGAAGCTCTATTAAGGGGCAGCTTTTTAAAAAAAAAAAGTTTGTAACTTAGAAGCTCTATTAAGGGGCAACTTTTTTTAAAAAAAAGTTTGTAACTTACAATCTGTGACTTCAATCAAAAGAACAAAATAAACCTTTGGCAGAGATCCCAGCAGAACATACAGTGCAACAGAACTTGCTATGTTGTTTCAATGTATACTCATCTAATAGGCTTCTAGAATATCTACTCTGCAAAGTACAAATGGGATTTTCTTCAGCCTTACTCTGGCTTTCTTCCTTTGCCAGCTAACCTTCCATGTCAGTGCCTTTGAATCATCAAATAGTTCTCTCTCTATTTTTATATATATTATTTGAAATAAGAAAGACCATTTGGTTGAAGTTTTTTTGGAAGGACAAGCCCATTGGTATTCATTAAATCGCCTGCCTATTACTCCAATTTCCCACAATTGTCCTGATTGGTTTATCTTCCATTCAATCTATTCTTCTTCCTTTTCCTCAAATATATTCTGATTTCTTAATTTGTAAAAAGTCTTTTCCATTTTCAATGTTGTCACTCCCTTTTCTGATTTTTCAGTTGGCTGGGTCTGTTGGTCAGTTGGGTCCTCTGTCTTAGTGTTTAGTTGTTCCACCAAACAACTTTCAAGCAACGTGGATGAAACTGGGTGAGACCTGATCCTCTCTTTAAAATTCTAAGTTTTTTTTCCTGTAAAAGCTGCCCAAAGTATTTTTTTCCCCTGTGAGGAGAGAGGGAAGGGAATTTTTACCCCACCCTGTAAGAAAAGCAGTGACTAACTACCCAGGGGAAACAGAGCAATTTTAATCTAATTGGGTGTATATTCTTTTGAAACTTGGGGATGAAAAGTGTTCTTTTTCTTATTGGAGACTTTTTTTAAAAATAAGACTTGAAAAATCACCATATAAGTTTTGGACTTAAAAAGCTTAAAACGGCATTGGTGATATTGTGTGGCAAATTGTGGTATTACAATTTGTTATTGCCTAAAAGAGACTTGGCTTGAAGCCCAGACTTCAGATAAAATTTATTTGACCTTGACAGTTACCACCCTTGAAAAACCCAGCTGCAAAGAAGGGATTTCTGGACGGCTTATCTGGCCTGCTTGAACTATGAATGTAAACTTTTACTAACTTTCGGAGCTATACTTGGGAAATTGCTTTCCTATTTCCCTGCATGAGAAGCATATGTTATTACATGATGGAACACCTTGGATTATAAACTCTTACTTGATAAACAATTTATCCTATAAAGACCACCTATAAAAACATGAAATAGATGTCCCATACCCAGCTACAAAAGACAAAAAATTATTTTTAACATTTGATTCTAAAGTCTTCAACTTAACATACTATCAAGAGAATATGGATGAAGATCAGGAAAAAATCCTTTCCATGTTGAAATCAATACACGAAACCATCCTTTCAGCTTGTGACAAAATAGGAAGCAACACAAAGGAACAATGTACTAACTTAAATATACAAACCCAAATCTTGACTACAAGCAAAGAACTAACAACGCAGAAAACAAAAGGAATATTTTTAGGTTTTTCTGGTTAGACTGTTATGGATACTAAGTCAAAGGCGATCAAACAACTAAAAGCAATGATTAATATCTAGTATCTCTAAATATAGGTGTTACACTTTTTTCATTTGTTGGAGAAAGACCTGGACTTACTGAGTTCTTGAAGCTGCCTTAGATTGATGCTGTCTTCAACGGCTCCCTCTTCTTCTGGACAAATGAAGAGGTGAAACTTCTGGAGGATGAAGAAACCTTGCAACCACTGATTGGGATTTAACATTGATTTGTAGTAGAGTCTACCTACCCTTTGGAATTCATAGCCCAGCAGACAGTGACAACTGAGAGGGGTGAACCACTGCAAAAGAAGATGATACCAGTTCTGAAAAGGATATTTTGAACAAAACATGCACACTGATTATGGCTATATTTATTTACATATGGATAATTTATTATTTATTATCACATCATCCTATCTGTTGTAGCACAAAGTCAAAACAAGTTAATTTTCACAAAAAAATTTAAAACACAAATACAGTTTAAAATAATTAAATATTACAGACGTAAAGGAGCAATTTTCAATTGCATAGTAAATCAACCAAATAATTTAAAAACAGAGGCAGCAGCAGTAATATAAGTCATGAAAAGTCCAACTCAGAATGATTTGTTATATGCTTTCTGTCATACTAAGTATTCCAAGTGTTGCCAGGTAAGTAATTTATTATCATATGAAAATATAGTAGTCACAGAAATAACATATACACAAGCTGTGATAAGAATGGCAAATAAATACAGCTATGTGGGAAGATGGTTTTAATGTAAGGCCATGTGAAACTTACATTTGCAGGGAACCTGGGTTAGAGAGATTTTCCACAAAAGAAGCTTGGGAATATTTGAGGATTAAAAAAAACCCCAATCTTGCCTATTGATTGTTGAGTTTATGATGCACTGATACCTAACAGAGTGACCTGATATACTAGAAGAGGGGGTACACTCTACTCTGAATTTCTAGTGAACATTATTTCTCACCATTACCTTGCCAATAGCACTGGCCCAGGACTGTAGGCTACTGGAATCACCACCTACCCACAGCTGTATTCGTTCATTGTTCAGATACAGTTCTAGCATGAAGCAAAACCTGTTTGTAGCAAACAAAAATATCACTGTGAATAGATATCTAGTAAAATAATTTGTCCACATAGATATTAAAAAGATAAAAAATAAACCATAACATAATGGGGAAATTAATCTATTAATCTTAATTTTGAAATTTATTTTATGTATTATAATTTATTGTCATTAAAGATTACTCTTAATACTTATTATGATTCGTTGCACAATCAACCAGATGTTCAGACTGGATTTGGCATTTTTGTCTACCTATCGTATCTTTTCCAAGAAACTGGGATAGGCAGATGTGGATGTTTGATGATGTTACAGATATTGTTGCAGGATGTACGCTGTTCTGAATAAAGCTGCCTTTTGCAATTGACTGATAGTCAATAGATGTTCAAGTGGTGCTCCAGTTGTTTTGGGATTGCACCAAAGATGCTTATTGCTATTGGTACTACTTCTGCTTGCGTTGCTACAGTTGTTCTATTGCTGTTTGTAGGTCTTTGTATTTTGTTGTATTCTCCAGTTCTTTCTATTCTATTCTGCTGTCTCCAGGTACTGCTATCCAGACTTTTTTTATATCTTTCTTATCAATAGCTGTTAAATCTGGGGTGTTATAGTGACAGGTTCCTTTTGAATTTTAAAGTCCCAGAGCAATTTAGCTTTTTTCTTTTCTATGACTTTCTTTATTTTATGATCTCACCAGTTCTTGCTTGCAGGCAAATGATATTTCTTGCATATCTCCCAATGCTTTATTGTTGCTACTTTATCGTTCTATTACTTATAGTAAGTCTGTGCAATCTTCTTGCAGCAGCTAACCAGGTTGGTCCACAGTTCTTTCAGCTTCTTTGCATAGGCAACATTTGCTATCTATTGCTGTCTTCCCAATTCTGGCTTTGTAGCCATTTGTTCTTAAGGCTTGTTCTATCTTTTTTTTCAAAGTATATTTGCGATGCGTAAACACAGTGGTGGGATTCAAATATGTGAACAACCAGTTCTCTGTGTGGATGCCACTTCTGGAAGTCCTTTCTGGGCCTGGGCAACAAAAAATTAGCTATCAGTTCTACTGAACTGTTGCAAACTGGCTGAATCCAACCACTAGGTAAACATCTTTTCTTCTAGTAGTTCTGCAGTTATTGGCCCAGTTGCTCAGCCAACAGTCCTGAGTCCTATAGCCCATTTTTCACCAGATGTCCAGGAACTCCAACATCTACTGCATTAACCTGGGTGAGCTGATATGGATTTCTGTAATTTATCACCATATTTTTTATGGGAGAGACACTCTTTGTCTGACTCCTCTGATGAGATTTGTCCAATATAGTTGAACCTCTGGCATAGCTCTAATCTTCCTCAGAATACACAAGCCCCACAATCACATCAAGGTAGTGACTCACTGGGAGATGATGATGATTAATCATTGCAGTCAGCCAGATGTTCAGACTGGGTTTGGCATTTTTGTCTACCAAACCCGGTCTGAACATCTGGCTGACACTGCAATGATTGATGATGATGATGATGATCATCATCATCATCATCATCCATTGGTGAGATACTACCTTGACATGGTTGTGTGGCTTGTGAGCTCTGAGGAAGATGAAAGCTATGCCAGAGTTTCAACCATAGTGGACAGTTCTCATCAGAGGAGTCAGACAAAGAGTGTTTCTCCCATAAAAAATATGGTGAGACGTAAATTTCAGAAAGCCACACTGGCTCGGATGTTGCCCGGCTTAACAAGGTCCACGCTAGATGTTAGAGTTCCTGGATATCTGGTGAAAAATGGGTTACAGGACTCAGGACTATTGGCTGAGCAACCAGGGCCAGCAGCTGCAGAACTGCTTGAAGAAAAGCTGTTTACCCACTGCAAATATACAATGACTGTAAATAAAGAAATAATGATCTGTTGTTACAGATCAACTCCAACAAGAAGAGGATATTTGAAACAAAAGCACCAGTTTTGAAAAGAAGAATATCCAGAATCAGAAATAACAGAACAGAGGCTAGCAGATCAACACCAATTTATAATATGAAATAAAGTATTCACAGAAGCAGATTTGGAAGAACTGCAAAGGTTTACCCAGGGCAAAGAAATCAAAACCTTGCCAGAAGTAAGAATATAGAGGCAAACCAGAGGGTGTTGGCAGTAGAGGAATCTAGCAGGGATATAAAACTGTTTTCATTTAGAAACCAGGCACCCTCTCTTCTGCCTCAGAAAGAACAAAGCCCTCTAACTAAAGAAGAGAATTAAAACAAAGAATAACTGAGCACCTAGAACAGCACAAAAACATCAGAATAAGATTGCCTGCATTGAAGCTTATTCCAAAGAAACATCTAGAAATCAGCATTAAAAGATGCAAATACTGCAATATCAAGTATAAGCACCAACTCACTGCAAGAAACAAACCAACTAATGTACAGCACAGCTGCAGTTATAACTGAATACCCAGGATGCAAAAATCAACAAAGAAGAAAAAAAGTCAAATAGTGCACCATAAAGATGGAAGATTAGACTGGAAAATAAGATCAGCAAGTTGAGATCAAATGCAAGCAAACAAGAATAGATGAAAGAAAAGAAGCTGAAGAACAAGAAGATGAAAGAATACCTAATCAAGAAACCACTTAGAAACAAGGAAAATTAAGGAAGCCCTGGAAATAATAAAGCAGCAAATAACAGCTATAGCCAAGAAAATCAGTAGATATGAAGCTTGAATTGCAAATTATAGGCAGAACCTCCAATTTCAATCCAATCAGAAATGTTTCTACCAATCCATCAATGAAGAAACTGCAGTGAATCAGTCAGTACCTGACAAGGAAAAAAACAGTGCAGTTCTGGGCACAGATGTGGGATAACTCAAAGAAATACAACAAGGATGCAGCTTGGTTAAAAGAGGTGGATAAAAATAAATAAGAAATTGAAATCAAAGAACTAGTAATAACAGCAGAAATGATAGAGAAAAGAGCAAGGAATATCAAGAATTGGTCGGAACCAAGTGAAGATGAACTGCATAGTTTTTGGTTGAAACATCTAACTGGTCTATACCCACTCATTGCCAAGCAGTTTAACAATATACTACAAGGAGGTGAAATTGAAGAGAGGCTAACATATGAGAAAGTCTACCTGATAATGAAAGATCCCACTAAAGGGGCAGCACCAGACAACTACAGATCAATTACTTGCTTACCAACAACTTTCAATTTGCTAACTGGTGTGGATGCAGTCCCACAGTATCTAGTTGAACACAATTTCTTTCCACCTGAGTGGAAAGGAAACCACCCCAATAGCAGAAGAACAAAAGATGAACTCCTAATTGACAAAATAATTTTAGAAAACTGCAAGAGAATGAAGACCAACCTAAATGTAGCATGGATTGATTACAAAAAAGCATTTGATTCTCTGTCACATGACTGGATAATCAAGTGCCTAGAAATAACAGGAGTCAGTAGAAACATTAGCCACTTGTTTGAAGATCAATGGCACAATGGATGACACAATTGAAGGTCAATGGTGAGAGACTGGGAGAGGTTAATATCAAGAGAGGAATATTTCAAGAAGATTTATTATCATTGCTACTATTTGTCATTGCACTCTTTCCTCTGTCAAGAATACTGAATAACTTAGGCCATGGCTATCAAACATCAAAAACATCTGCCAGACTATCCCACCTCCTTTACATGGATAATCTAAAGCATCTAAAATATCATCTGAAATAGAATTGCTGCACAACACTGTCCATATATATAGCCAAGATATTGCAATGGAGTTTGGATTGGACAAATGTGCCATACTATCAAACAAGGAAAAATAATGAAAACTGAAGGAATCAAGATGCCCCATGAAAATAACATTAAAATTCTGGATGAGGATGACTACTATAAATATCTGGCTATCCTTCAAGCTGACAACATCAAGCACACTGAAGTCAAGAAAAAGATTAGAGATGAATATATCAAGAGAGTGAAGAAGCTCTTAAAGTCCAAACTCAGTGGAGGAAATACCATCAAGGCAATCAACACCTGGGCAATTCCAATAATTAGGTACACAGCTGGAATAGTGGATTGGACTCAAGCAGAACTAAAAATAATGGATAGGAAGATCAGAAAAATAATGACAAAGAATCATACCCTTCATCCTTGCAGTGACATTGATAGACTCTACATATCAAGGCAAATATCTGGGCATGGAATGTTGCAAGTACATCAGATAGTTGAAGAACCAAAAATGGCTTTGGAAGAATATCTGAAGGACAATGATGAAGATGCACTGAAGTTAGTATATCAGGAAGGCTTACTGATTACTGGAGAGACCAAAGTGGCCTTTAGAAAGACCAGATGAAGAACAGAATGGAAGCATGGGAAGACAAAGCACTACATGGCCAGTACATTAAAAAAAGATAGCAGGGAAAGAAGATAATAACCTGGCAATGGCTAAGAGCAGGAAAGTTGAAGAAAGAGACCGAGGGACTAATTCTGATTGCACAAGACCAAGCCTTAAGGACAAATGCATATAAACCCAGAATTGAGAAGACAGTGACAGACAGTAAGTTCCGCTTATGCAAAGAAGTTGAAGAAACAGCTGGTGAGTTGCTGCAAGAAGATTGCATAGACTGACTATAAGCAGCAGCATGACAAAGTAGCAACATTGGAAGATCTGCAAGAAATATCATTTGCCTGCAAGCAAGAACTGGTGGGACCATAAAATAGAGAAAATCATAGAAAATGAAGAAGTTAAATTGCTCTGGGACTGTAGAATTCAGAAAGACACATAGCACTCCAGATTTAACAATTGTCAATAAGAAAGACAAAAAAGTCTGGTTAGTGGATGTGGCAGTGCCTGGAGACAGCAGAAGAGAAGAGAAAGAACTGGAGAAGATAACAAAATACAAAGACATACAAATAGAAATAGAACAACCATGGCAAAGGCAAGCAAGGGTAGTACCAATAGTAATAGGCGCCTTGGGTGCAATCCCCAAACAACTGGAGCACCACTTGAACACCATTGGCATTAACAAATCCACCATCATTCAATTGCAAAAGGCAGTTTTACTGGGGACAGCTTCTATCCTGTGACAATACCTGTAATACCCTCAAACTTCCATATCTGCCTATGCTAGATCCTTGGTAAAGACTCGATAGGTAGACAAAAATGCCTAATCCAGTCTGAACATCTGACTAACTGTGCAATATTAATCATCATCATCATACACTACTTAACAGCTCTTAGGTCCTTGGCTATATAGGCCGTTCCAAGTAGGGTGATTTTTTGGAAAGTCAGGATATTCAGGTCTAATAAGTTCAAACTTTCCATATTATCTAGGCAACCCTTTGGATATTGCTCCAAGGGCTTCCATTACTCTTAGTACAACCATTGATTTCTTCCTCCACAATTGCTCAACTTCAATTTGCAAATCATGATATTTTTTTTTCTAGCTGTTTCTCTTCAATTTGTGCATCACCTGATATTGCAATATCAATGAACCAGACTTTTTTTCTTTTCCACAGTAGTGATGTCAGGCATATTGTGGGCCAGATGTGTTTGGATCGGAAAGTCGCACAAGACTTGCTCATTTTCAAGAACTTTGTCAATTTGGTGTTCCCAGTAATTTTTGCTGCATTCAAACTGAAACTTCTGGCAAAGCTTCCAATGTATGATTTTGGCAACTTGATCATGACATTGTAGATAATCAATCTGTGAGATTTTGTTGCAGCCAGTGGTGGGATTCAGCCAGTTCGTACCAGTTCGGCAGAACCGGTAGCTAATTTTTTGTTGCCCAGACTCAGAATGGACTTCTGGAAGCAGCATCCACACAAAGAACTGGTTGTTCACATATCTGAATCCCACCACCGGTTGCAGCCATTGATAAGGAGATCCACTGCTTCATCTTTCTCAGTGCATAAGCAACATTTGCTGTTATTGTTGACATATTGAATTTTTGCTTTCATGGAATTGGTTTGTAAGACTTGTTCTTGGGCAGCCAAAATGACCCATTCAGTTTCTTTCTTCAGCACTCCTGATCTCAACCAGCACCATGTTAGCTTAGTATCTAGCATTTCTTCAATATCCTTCAGGTATTGACTGTGCATAGGATTCTTTTTCCAGTTAAAAACACGATGCTCAATTGTTTCCTTTCAATATTCTGCTTTCAATAGGTTTCCCTTGTTCACCTCCTTCAGCAGAGGCTCTTTTGCTTTTTTATATAGACATTTAAGCCATGTTTTTCCTCCTTCATAGTTTGTTTCACCTGTAAGAGACCTCTGCCACCCTGAGATCTTGGCAAATACAATAGATCAATATCACTTTTTGGGTGCAGAGAATGATGCATTGTTATTAGTTTTCTTGTCTTTCAATCCAAGTTTTTTATATTATTCTTATTCTTATTCTTATTATTATTAAACACTGCACAGTCAGCCAGATGTTCAGACTGGATTTGGCATATTTGTCTACCTATCGAGTCCTTACCAAGGACTTTGGATAGGCAGATCTGGATGTTTAACAGTGTTACAGATATCATCGCAGGATGTATGTTTTCCCCAGTAAAGTCGCTGTCAGAACCTCAATGCATTTAATCCATTTCATTTAATTCATTTCACTTGCTTGTGCATTCCATTTTCGGGTACTGCCATTCTGTTGGGAGGGGGGAGGCTTGCTCTGTGGGGAGGGGGGAGGTTCTGTGGGCTCTGCAATGTATTTCCTTTGTTCTATCTTCTTTGAAGTGACCCCCTTTGGGTGTAAAAGGTGGGAGGAATATGCTTGTGGCCATCTGCCTTATCTCCATTCCTGTGAAGGAACTGAAATCTTGAGAACTGCATTTTATTGCTCCAGTTCCCATAACAACTTCACACCTATGGATTGGCTAAAATCAAACTGGATGGTTGGACACTGGGGAAGGGTTTGAATAGGCAGTTTTAATGTGATGTTTCTCATGGGAAGAACTTAGATCTTGCCTTGCTTTACTGCTATCACTAACTCTCAATAAAAATTCCTGTTGAAACAATGCCAGTTTCAAGAGTTCTGTTTTCTTGGGAGCCTAGTTGAGGCAGATTGTTGTTGTTATCATCATCATCATCATCATCATCATCATCATCATCATCATCATCTGTTGCATAGTCAGCCAGATGTTAAGACTGGATTTGGCATTTTTGCTCACCTATGACTGATTTTAATTAACATAGGGTGTTGCAGATGGCTGCAATATGCTACAGACCTTGCACTATAACAAATGGTAATACTGTGGAGTGATGAATGGAGACAGATGAATGCTTCTGATGAAACTCCAAACAGATCCTTAACCTTACACATAACAATCTGCTCTTTTTGATGGAGATCAATCCAATGTTGCTTCATTGTTTGTTTGGTACCATCGTGAGGTACATGAACATAGTTTAGCAGGAGTAAGGAGAAAAATTGAATGAATCAACTTTCCACAAACCTGTCTGTGGAGCTAGGAATAGCCAACATGTCTGTTCTGTTCACTGCTAAGGAAATCATATCTGCCACTTCAATCTTTACTGTTGGCTCAGTACTCCTTTCAGTCTCATAGAAGAGGAAACATTTTTCCACCGAGCACCAGATCCTCTGAAACTCTACATAAGCAAAACAGTTAGCAAAAGCCATTTTTCAATTAGCCATTAGTTATGGATTCCACCCTACTCAGACTTACCATCTCTGCTTCTCTTGATTGCTTTGGCAATGGATGGGACTTTGTATAAGTAGCCACAATGGACAACTGGTTGTGTGATCTCATTGTAGATTCCTTCTAGTTGTACATACAGAGAAGACAGATAAATGATTTAAAAATAAATTGTCTTTGTTCAAAGCCAGCAAACACTTAAGTTTTGTTTATAAGAGATAATTTTTCATAATACGATAGAAAATGTAAGTTTGGTGTAAGATTGTGAATAAAATTTAAAACATACATGATTATTTGGCATTTAAAGAATGAATTGCCAAGCCTGACTAGTATCAAGAAGATAATACATAGTTTGATCAAGGAGGAACTAGAATTATTTTTATAAGAAATTGAAAGCACTGTATAGACTTTTTGTTACAACTGGATAAAAATAAATTGCTGATTTCAGGAACGATCACAATTTTTTTATGAGAAGAAGGGAACTATGCAATATGGGAAGGTGGAGATGGTGATTATTGTGTTTGTAACTGCTGCAAACAATATCAGAAGTTGCTTCTTTAGATATCTTTCTTTTTCTTGCTTTTTGTTATTTACCTTTTCTTTTACCCTTTTATATTTTTTCCTTTTCTATCACTTTTTCTATGTTTCTGTAGTTCTTAAAATCATTGTAAAATCTTCTTTTAATAAAATTTATTTTTTAAAAAAAGAAGATAATACATAACAGATAGTGAAGAAAAATAGGATTTCATTATATACCCAATCAAATAGATTGAATCCTGTTTTCTACATATAGAGAGTCTTTGACTTATGAAAATTGGGATTGGAAGCTCTGTCTCTAAGCAATGTGGTCATTAAGTTGTGCCTGATGTTATGTCCTTTTTTGCAGTGGTTGTTAAACAAATCTGGCTTCCCCCATTTACATTGTTTGCTGGAAGCCTCCTGGGAAGGTCACAAACGATCTCAGAATGCTACAACTGTTGTAATATTGCGATAGTGGCAAATATCTGTTGTAATACATGCCAGTCATCAAGTGCCTGAATTTGGATCACATGAACACAGGGATCCTGCAACACTTGCAAGTGTGAGTCACTTTTTCCAGTGCCATTTAACAGCTATTAAACAAATGGTCATAAGTTGAGGACTACCTGTATAGCATAGAATAAGGTAATTACCTGAAGGATGAGTATGCCCACTGTTGGACCAGGGCTTAGTTTTCCAAGTAAAACAGCTGCCTTCCATTTCAACTTCCATGGTGCTTGCAAAAAAATGCACCATTTTTTTAAGCAATCCTGGCCCAGATACAGCTGCACATAGAGCCTATGGAAAAAAAAACTCCTAATAATTACTCAAGATAATTAAGTTCCTATAACAGGGGTGTCAAACTCAATTTCACTGAGGGCCGCATCAGCATCGTGGTTGCCCTCGGGGGGGCAGATGGGTGTGGCCAGGGTGGGTGCAGCCTACTGGGTGGGCATGGATGGAGTGGGTGTGGCCTACTGGGTGGGTGTGGCCAGCTCTACATCGTTTGCGTCAAGGGTGCCTGTGGGGGCCTGGGCAGGAGTGGGGTAGATCTGACGGTCTCTGGCAGAAGGGGATGGGACCAGGGCAAGTGCCAAGGCATGGTCCACTGGAGGAGCCTCACTGTTCCTCTTAGGCCATGCGGGGGGGGGGCTTATGGAGCTAAGACTGAATGTGTTTCAGCATAGATGGCCACCACAAAATTGTACATTGGCTCCCGGCTGGCCTGGGCCAGGGCCAAGGCAGCAGGGGCCATTCCCTCACTGTTTCCAGGATGGCTTCGCGGGCCTTGGGTTTGACATGTCTGTCCTATAAGAATATCACAAATTGCAAATCAAAACTGCAAGAAAAGATATTATGTAACTCTTCAGGTAATAATAGCAACCTGATTGTGTTAATGACCATTGCACTAGAATTTGTACATCTAGTTAATATTGAATCTAGTTCAATATTATTTAGCTAACACTATAACATTAGGTGTATACTACAGACCACACAACCAAACAGAGGAAATAGATTAACTTTTTGTTAATCAGTTATCTAATGTGTACAGTAATGGGGGACCTTAATGATTCTGATATCAACTGGGAAACAAAATCTGCACCAAGTGGGAGATGTTATGAGCCAGGTCGCCTAGCCAGAGACAGGTAGTGATAGTCCTTTATTGCCCTGTTAAATGCCAAAACAGGGCATTTAAAATATCTGGTAAGCCTTCACGACACACTTCCCTGAAGGCAACCACCTTCAGTTCCACAAAGAAAAGCCAATAAACCACAAAACCAATTCGCAAAGCCAGAGAGGAAGTTCAAAGAGAAGGTTCAAGCTCACGGGCAACTTCCAGGGTCACTGTCCAAAGGGCAAGGCAAGTCCACAGAGTAAGGCAAGTCCACAAGACCAAAGAAAGTCCACAAGGCAAAGAGAGTCCATGAGCCAAAGGCAGTCCACAAGGCAAAGGAAAAGGCAAAGCATAGGCAGAAACATGAATCAAGGCTGAGTTTTTCCAAAACTGGGGAAGCATAAGCCAAAACAAAGACCCCCCCCAGGTTCTCCTTAAGTCAACCCACACCAGGTGTTCCTTGGGAGGAGAGGTGAGGCAGCCTTCTCCTGAGTAGCCTTGCAGACCTCCTTTGAGCTTGCCTTCATTCCACTCTCCGTGCCCTTGGGTTGAGTGGGGAAGGCAGCTGTTCCTCATCAGAGGGAATCTGCTGCCTCTCAGATTGCCTGCAGCCAATCCTCCCCTGTGTGTGTGAGGGCAAGCAGCTCTCCATCCAGTCAACCACTTCCCCCAAGGCCTTAGGGGCCTGGGACAGCATTGTCCTCAGCCCCTGGCCTCTCCAAACATTCCAAGGGAGGCATGTCACTCCCGTTGGAGGGTCCCGGTTCCAACTCTCTTCCTCCTCCAAACCGGGATCTCCTGTCATTGCCCAATCATGTCATCCTGGAATTCAGCATAATCAGGCACGTGCAATAGAGCAAAATCAAAGTAGTGCCTTAGATTTCAAGAAGCCAATTTCAAGAAATTTAGGGAGCGAGCTCAGGAAGGATTTCATGGATGAAAAGGAGTAAACAACTCAAGAAGCTTGGGAAATTGAAAAATGAGATTATAAAAGCCCAATCTAGCACAATACCACTGAGAAAGAAAAATAAGAGACTGCAGACGAAACCAGCAAGATTGCATAAAGAACTCTCTAATAAATTGAAAGCCAAAGAAGACAAGTATGAAAAATGGAAACAGGGACATATAATTAAAGAAGAATAGGAGCAAATAGCCAAATCTTCAAAGATGAAATCAGGAAAGCTAAGGTCCAGAAAGGACTTGTCACAAACATGCAAGAAATGTCAAAAATAATTTTTAAAAAGTTTCTTTCAACATGGAAAAAAAACAAGAAGAAAGTCAGAGAACCAATTGGTCCACAATGGGAAAATGTGGCAAGAAGATGAGGATAGCAGGGAGAAAGTGGAATTGCTTAATTCATACTTTGAGACTCTAGAGGGATGCAGAGAAGAGCAACAAAAATGATTAGGGGACTGGAGGCTAAACAAATGAACGGTTGCGGGAACTAGGCATATCTGATCTAACAAAGAGAAGGATTAGGGATGACATGATAGCAGTTTTCCAATACTTTAGGGGCTATTACAGAGAGGAGGGGGGTCAACATATTCTCCAAAGCACCTGAGGGCAGGACAAGAAGTAACAGATGGAAGCTTATAAAATAGAGATCCAGCCTTGAAATAAGGAGAAATTTCCTATCAACAAGAATAATTAATCAGTGGGACAGCTTCCTTCCAGAAGTTGTGGGTGCTCCATCACTGGAGGTTTTTTAAGCGATTGGACAGCCATTTGTCTGGAATAGTATAGGATCTCCTGCCTGTAATAATTTATAATTTCATCAGATGTTAGAGAAAGATTTTTCAATGTGTAAATACATACCTGCAGAATGCTTTCTTGACTGTTATATTGAGGGTGCAGCATGCGGAAGCGTCCATAACGGTATTTATGGATGATGAAATTTCGTCTCTGCTCAGTGTTAGCATCAGGATATAAGGCTTCAGAAGCTGGGAGGTGTGCAGCCCAAAATTTGTTTGCTTGCCTATTCCCTAGCATGATGAACAGCTTTAGAAGAGAGCAATAAAATTAAACTGGAGGATTATGGAGGAACAAAAGCACTCTATTTCCAGGGATATTGAAGAAATATGTCTCATCTTAGATCTGTGGTTGCAGCCCACTACTGGGTCGTGGCCAATTTCAACTGGGCCGTGTGAATGGTGGGCCAGGCCATGTGCACATGTATGCAAAGCCCAACTCATGCAAATAGTGGGCAGCGGCACTCGCAACCCCACTCATGTGAGTTGTGAGTATGCGCCTCTGCCACTCGCACAAATGAAACTGCGTGTGTGCATGCCTGCCCCTTGCACAAAACCATCCCCTCTTCCCCCTTTGTGCACCAGGTTGCCAACTCAGAAAGATTGGGGAACACTGTCCTAGATAATCCCACTTTTCCATACCTGGGCATTTCTGCAATTTCAGATTGATTGTATCATTTCCCAATGCTATATCTTTGGAAAAAACTTAATACCTGGACCATCTCATTGCTCCAAATACTCGTATCCAGCTTCAGACTTTGCACCTTAGAAATCCTAGAACCCAGGCTCCGATGCAAACCTGTAAATATAGAAAAAGAGATAGATGAAGCTCCAAAGGGCATGCATGCATCTAATTGCAATTTTCACAGGATCCAAACTCAGATTCAGACCGAAAGGAAATTCTTATCTCAGGACATATAAATCTCCGTCCACATGAACTTATATATCAATCTTCGTATTAGGTGGGAATATCACTTTTGTATATGGGTTTTTCTAGAAGAACACTCTGGGCAAACACAAGTTCCAAAATAATAAAGAATAAGAGATGTAGATGCAATTTTTCTCCTATAGATTATGATTTATTTCAGAATAATTTAAATGGGTTTCCCACAGAATAGAATACATTATTGGCCAAGTGTGATTGGACACAAGGAATTTGTCTTGGGTGCATAAGCTCTCAGTGTATATACAAACAACAATGTATATAATCGTAAGATACCAATGAAGACAGTAGTAGAAAAGATGAGAAGGATAACAGTTATACAGACATACTATATGGGTAAATATCCTTAGACATAATACTGAGCTAATTAGATACTCAGCAGAGTGATGGCATGAGAGAGAAAACTGTCTTTGTTTCTAGTTGTTTTGGCATGCAATGCCCTATAGCGGCCTCCTGAGGGGAGGAGTTGAAACAGTTTATGTCCAGGATGTGAGGATCTGTAGATATTTTCTCAGATCCTCCATGGAAGGCAGGTTGGTTGCAATTGTTTTTTCTGCAGTCCTAACTATCCGTTGAAGTCTATACCTGTCCTGTTTGGTTGCTGTATCAAAATAGACAGTTATAGAAGAACAAATGGTAGACTCAATAATTCCTCTATAAAACTATATCAACAGCTCCTGGGGCAGTCAAAATTTCCTGAATTGATGGAGGAAGAACATTCTTTGCTGTGCCTTTTTAATGATGGTTCTAATGTTAGGAGTCCATTTCATGTCCTGGGAGATTATAGAATCCAGAAACGTGAAGGTATCTACTGCTGATATTGTGTTGCCTAATATTGTAAGAGTTTAGCAGACTACTACTTGCCACCTTTATTTTTTGTGCTTCTCTTAGAACATTGCATTCTATCTATTCTGATGTTTGCCTTTTTTTTTCCAGAACACAGTATGCAGCACCCATAATTTTTAATGTGTACATAGGCATTCTTTAGGACAGACATGTCAAACTCACGATGTCACATGACGTCACGTGATGTATCGGAGCTTTTTCCCCATTGCCAACAATGGGGTGGGCGCGGTTTCCTGGTGACGAGTCTGGCCCATGGGCCGGCATTTGACACCCTTGCTTTAGGAGAACAAATGTTGGCAATTGCTTATTTTCCATGCTGACTAAAACATGGGATGGGGAGAGAAAAATTACAAAAGGATAGATTCTCCTCCAAAATAACCCACCATATTGCAATTATCCTTAAATGTACAACCTGCACTAATAGGGAGGTTATGCAATTTTAAATTGGCATTGTAGCCTCTTGTAGGAACAATTAATATTTGTCCTTCAAAGTATCATAAATGTTCTGTTAAATAAGTGACGAGAAGTATTGACATTTTGTCACCCAAAGTGCCATATACAAAGATATACTTGCCTGCACAATGCTTGCAGATCACCACACACAAATTGATGGAAGCCCAGTCAGGGCTCAGTGCATGGCAGTCAGCACAGAATCTGTTAGCTTTGTTAGACCAGATCTTCTCAGCCACTTCATAATCATACAAAATTTCAGCAATAGAGTTCTGAAGCACTTCCATCCACTCTTGCTTCTCTCGTTCAGATTCGGCTCCAAAACTAAGGGAACACGCATGAAATAATGTAAGGCCTAGTCAAAAAGCAAGGCTATTATAAACACTCTGCTTGCAGCATCTACCTACAAAACATTTCATGGCTGATGCTGGATGTAATAATTTGACAAATTATCCATTTGTTTTCAAAGAAAATTGACTAACTTTTGTATTTGTGTTTACATGCTAAACATCTGAAATGTTTTGGCATTTGGCATTCCAACAAAGCTGATGGATTTCTATAATGTGCATTAATTCCCTCCCTCAGGCCACGAGAGAATAAAACCCAATTCAGGCACAGAGCATTCATTCAGCTCTCCTGATGTTATTCAAATGATGTCAGATATGCGTTATTATATGCTTCTGCAGGAAGAAAGTATGGAAACCAACACAAGTACTGTATGAATCTATGCATGAAGATGTTCCTCCTGGATGCTGCTACGCAGAATATATAGATGTTTGCATGAATCTGTCATCATTTGATATATATATATATATATATATATATATATATATATATATATATATATATATATATATATTAAAAAATTAAAATACAGATCACTAAGACTGAAGAATTTATTTAAAAACTTAGCTTTTTTTTTTTTTTTTAATTGAAATTTTTCAAAAGTTTTACAAATAAGAATCCACCCCCCCCTCCCCAACCACCCCACCCCCCCCCCCGACTTCCCAGAACTGAATATAGGATTATTTAACAAATATTTTAAAAATAACATTTGCAATTTATAAAATAATTAATAATAATAATAAAAATCACAGTAATAATATATATAATAATAATATACATAACATAAACTTTAAAATGAATAATATATACTAAAAAAGAAAAAAAAAAAAATAAAAAAAGAAGAGAGAGAGAGAAAGAAGAAAGAAGAAAGTAGACGAAGAATAAAGCATATATATATAAAAAAAAAATATATATGAATAATAATACGTAAAAAATGTATATATATAAAAAAGAAAAAGAAGAAAGAAAGAAAGAAAAAACAATCATTACAAATTATAAAAAGGCTAAATAATATTTTTCCATATCCAAATTATGTTGTATAAAATTTATCCATTTTTCCCATACCGCAAAAAATTTTTCTTGAGATTGCTCCTTTAAGAAAGCCGAAATCTTTGCCATTTCTGCCAAATACGAAACTTTATGAAACCATTCTTGTAAAGTAGGCAAAGATTCCTTCTTCCAATATTGTCCTATTAACAACCTAGCGGCTGTAATCAAATTTAACATCAATATAACCTCCTTAGCATCACAGTCAATAACAATACCTAGTAAAAATAATTGCGGAGTAAATTTTACCCTCCTTTTAAAAATTCTTTGAATATTCCACCATATCTTAATCCAAAAAGCTTTTATATGCTTACACGTCCACCAAATATGGTAATAGGTAGCATCCAAATATCCACATCTCCAGCATTTCGGCTGTAGATTAGGGTACATAATGGACATTTTCTTTGGGTCAAGGTGCCATCTATAAAACATCTTATAAAAATTCTCTCTTAAATTTTGCGCTTGTGTGAATTTAACATTTCTTATCCAAATAAGTTCCCAAGTATCCATTGAAATCGTTTCACCAATATTCTGTGCCCATTTAATCATACAATCTTTAACTAGTTCAAGTTCTGAATCTAATTCCACTAAAACCCCATAAACTCTCTTAATATGGGTTGGCCTTTGATCTCTTACTTGTTTTAAAAAAATTTCATCTTCTCTAAGCCAGCCCATTTTACAATCCATCTTCCATCTATCCACTATTTGTCTATATTGGAACCATGAATAAGTTAAGTTTTCATGTGTTAATTCTTCCAAAGATTTTAACTGCCAGTCTTGGCCATCCCATCTTAGTAACTGTACATAAGAGACCTTGTCCATATTTACCCCTTTCCTTATACCTTCTATGGCATGCCGAGGTATAGCCCATAATGGTATTTTGAAGTCACTTTTATAATACTTTCTCCACACTCTTAGCAAAGAGTTTCTTATAATATGAGACTTAAAAACCCAATCCACTTTTTTATTAAATATTAAATAGGCATGCCATCCAAAAAGTAGGTCCCAGCCTTCCAAATGAAGTATTTCTGTATTTGTTAAATTCACCCAGTCGCTAATCAATGTCAATACTACAGCATCATAATACAATTTCATATTTGGTACCTTGAGTCCACCTCTCTCACGAAAATCTTGCATTATTTTAAGTTTCACCCTTGGTTTTTTCCCTGCCCAAACAAATTTATTAATACCTTTTTGCCATTCATCTAAATTACGTTCGTTCTTTAAGATAGGTAACATTTGAAACAAAAAAATAAACTTTGGCAGGACATTCATTTTAATAACTGCAATTCTGCCCATAAGGGATAACTGTAAATTATTCCAGTTTTTTAAATCCTTCTGTACCTCCATCCACAGCTTTTCATAATTATTTTTATACAATTTTACATTAGAAGCAGATAATGTAACCCCCAAATATTTTACCTTATCAACAATTTCAAAGTCTGTTAAGTTAACTAGAGCCTGTTTATCACCATTAGTCATGTTTTTAGCTAATATTTTGGTCTTATTATTATTAATTTTAAAGCCAGAAACACGTCCATATTGTTGAATCAATTGTAATAATTTCACCACCGAAGAAACAGGTTGAGACAAAGTAACAACCAAGTCATCTGCAAAGGCTCTTAATTTATATTCTTTTTTATTAATTTCTATTCCTTTTATTTCTTGAGACTCCCGAATTTTAATCAACAAAATTTCCAGTGTTAAAACAAACAATAACGGAGACAACGGGCATCCCTGTCTTGTTCCTTTTTCTATTACAAAAGCCTCTGACAAACCCCCATTTACAATAATTTGAGCAGTCTGTTTTTGATATATATTGGATAATACTTGTAATATATTTTGTCCAAAATTCATCTCCTTGATTAAACACAGCATAAACTGCCAATTCACTTGGTCAAAGGCTTTTTCAGCATCCAAAAATATCAGGCCTGCAGAGACTTGGTTATTCTTTTCTAAATACTCTAATAAATTAATAATTTGTCTAACGTTATTCTTCATATACCTTCCAGTTATAAAACCCGATTGATCCCTATGTATAAACTGCTGCAAGATCCCCATAAGCCTGTTAGCTAAAATTTTTGCAAAAATTTTATAATCCACATTTAAAAGAGATATAGGCCTATAATTTTTAGGCAAAGTAAGATCTTGACTATCTTTTGGAATCAATGATATAAATGCATTACGCCAGGATGGAGGGATCTCTAACCCCTGTAATAAATTATTAAACAGTTCACACAACGGTTGAATCATCTCTTCTACTAAAGCTTTATAATAAATAGATGTCAACCCATCCGTACCCGGCGCTTTGCCCAATTTCAATTGTTTAATAGCTGTAACAATTTCTTCCTTAGTAATTAAACCGTTAATCTTTTTTTCCTGATCTTCTGTTAATTTAGGAAAGTTAACTTTGCCTAAATAATTATTTATATCTGTAATTTGAATATTAGTACCCTTATATAATTTTTGATAGTATTCTAAAAAAGATTTCTTAATCAATTCTTTCTGATAAACCAATTTACCATTATAATTTATTTTATCTATATTCCTCTGTTTCTGTTTTTTTCTTAACTGATAAGCCAACCATCTCCCTGGTTTATTAGCATTACAAAATGTATTTTGTTTCATAAATAGCAAATTAGTTGCAGCTTGATCAGCCATCAGCATGTTAAATTGTGTTTTTAACAATTTTAAAGCTCCTTTAACCTTTTCATCTAAGGGATTTGAAATTAAAAGTTTCTCTTTTAATTTAATCTCCTCTTCCAAGTCTTTCCGTTTCTGAGTCTGTTTCTGTCTATGCAAATTATTCATTTTTATCAAAATACCACGCATAAAAGCTTTACTTGCATCCCAGACCATTGACATTGATGTTCCCTTGTTCATATTTAAAGTAAAATATTCCTTTAAACATTCCTTTAATTTATGAACATTTTTTTCTTGTTTAAATAAATTCTCATTCACCCTCCAGGATCTCCTATCTTCCTTCTCTACAAACAGTTCCATCCAAACTGGACTATGATCGGACAATGTCCTAGGAAAAATTTTTACATTCTTCACCCTGTTGTATAAATCTGTTGTGATCAAAAAGAAATCAATTCTTGAGAAAGATTGGTGTCTATCTGAGAAAAACGTAAAATCCTTTTCTTCTTGATTACGTTCACGCCAATAGTCTCTCAATTCTAAAAACTTAGCTTTTGTCAGCATCTGACAAAAGCTAAGTTTTTAAATAAATTCTTCAGTCTCGGTGATCTATGTTTTAGTTTTTTGAATATGAATATATCTGAGATTCATATCTTAAAGAATATATCTATATCTATATCTATATCCATATCTATCTATCTATCTATCTATCTATCTATCTATCTATCTATCTATCCTATACACAGGGGATAGTCCTCAATATAACTACATCTACATGGAGATAAACATGCAGTGGGGTATCAAGGTTCTGCTTTGGGGCCAGTGCTCTTCAATATCTTCATTAATGATCTAGATGAGGAGATAGAAGGGAAGCCGTCAAATTTAAAGATGATACCTAGTTGGGGAGAATTGCTACCATTTTGGATGATAGGCTCAAGATTCAAAAGGATCTTGGTAGACTTGAGCATTAGGCCCTATCCAACAAAATGCAATTCAGTGGTGAGAAAAGTTAAGCTTCTGCATTTAGGCAGAAACAAGCAAATACACAGGTATAGAATAGGCAGTACCTGGCTCAATAGAAACTGTGAAAGGGATTTAGGTATGCTGCAACTGCCAAGAAAGCATTGTAGCTGTAGGTTGCTTAAACAGAGGAATAGTTTCAAGATCACAAAACATGATAGCATCACTTTAAACTGCACTAGTGTGGCCATACTTGGAATACTGCATCCAGTTCTGGTCAACATGATATAAAAAAGATGCCGAGACTCTAGAAAGTATGAAGACAAGAGCAA